TGTGTGGCTAAAGCCAGCCATGCTTGTCCAGGCTTAAGTATGGCAGTAGTCTGTTTTGTCTCTAAAGGGTTACTACTGTCCGTGAAGCTGAGCACATGCTTGACTTCCTTGGAGAATGAGGGCCTTCTTGGACCCAAATGAAATGGGTGGCATGCCCAGGCAGGCCCAGGGCCCCAGCCAGGGTCAGTGCTGCCAGCGGTGTGGCATCTGCGACACGCACGCACCGCAGGACTGACGTGTAAGGCTCGCTCTCTGTGCGCAGAGTGGCTCTGCAACCCCTGACAGACGCTGTGCAGGCCACGTGGAGTTGCTCTTCAAAACCTCACGGGTACAACCTCTTGCAGATACCGTACCCAATGCCACGGGGTTATTTTTTGCAGCCCTGAATACCACAGTATGTTTCTTAGGAGCTGGGCTCAGGTGACGATGCGCCGTGAAGGGCGTACGTCACCTAGGCGAGTGCGCCCAGTGGTGAGGTGACATTACTCCAGCCAAGGTCTGGTTCGGTTTGCCACAGTGAATGCCTAGCGCGGCGCAGAGGGAGAGGAGCTGCAGCGAAACTCGTTCTGCTCCCAGTTCTCACGTGAGCCTTACTCTTTCTCACCGCAGGTTACATCCAAGCCTGCAGAGGACTGATGATCTCCGCCGTCTGCCTGGGCTTCTTCGGTGCCGTCTTTGGACTGGTCGGGATGAAGTGTACAAAAATCGGAGGCTCCGATCAGACTAAAGCAAAAATAGCTTGTTTAGCTGGACTGATTTTCATACTCTCTGGTAAATATACCTTATTTCTCTATGTTTGGGTGTTTGAAGTCATACCAGAGCTGCTGCTTTTCCGCAGAAATCCACGTGCAATTCTCCATGACTTCATTGGCTTCAGGGTCAGGCCCAAAGCTCTTCTGCTGGCTCCACTGAATGGTTTGTCTTATGCTTTTCAGGGCTGTGCTCTATGACTAGTTGTTCCCTGTATGCAAACAGGATTACGTCTGAGTTCTTTGATCCTTCTTTTGTTGCACAAAAGTAAGTACTTTCCTATACCCATAAATCTTTCAAAGAAGTAAGACCTTAAGTTTCATGCTGCGCACCAGAGCCCGTTTAGACAGAGCCCAGGTGCTTCTCCTGTTGGGCAGAGAAGAAGAGCGGAGTGCAGTTTTATTTTATCGTATTTTCCAACTGTAGTAACCATGTGCTGAAATTTAACAAACACACACCTTCCCGTACAGCGATTGCTCTGCAGTCCTTGTGCCCAGGCTTATTGCGGCTGGGCAGGGCTCTGCCCTGCTTGCCGCAGAGCAAATGGGGTTAATCAGGAGTGAAGCTCACGTTTATGTCAGAGATGCAGCAAAAGGGTCGCACAAGACAGAGGTGCTCATTAGGTGCATCATTCGGTAGGAAAGGAGGAAAAAAATTTCCTTGAGCTTTTGAGAGAAGGCGGTTCCATAAAGGTGTCAAGCAATGCTCACTCTTGACTCCTCTTGAAGAGAGGTTTTGGCAGGCTCTGCAGACTTTTTGCTGACAGATTTTCAAATCCAGATGACTAAAATTGGGATCATAAACCTTATCGTAAGCCACGATCATATAAGCACTAAGATAAATGCTTTGACTATACACATAATTAAATTTAAGGGAGTGAGTGTTTATAGAATTGTAGGATCCATACCAGAAATAATGAGCATCCCTAAACACTCCCTTTAAAGCTGTGCAAGTTCTCAGGACCTACAGAGGCAGCAATTCATGAACCAGTGCTTGGATTTTGGATTCACATCTTATCCACCAAATCTGAAAATGCTGGCTGTAAATCATAGACTTTCTTGTTTTGGCTTCTCACATAATGTAAAGTTATCTCTAAAGACAAGAATTTCAAAGTTTTCTTGGTGGTGATTCCGGAATATGTCAAGCATTGGGTATACATTTCCCTGAGACCCAAGTAAGGGCTCAGTAAGGAAGCCTAAGCCTTTCCATTTCAGCTTGATAGAAGGGAAATAGACTGAATAAATAACCTTAACTGGATCCATGTTTGCGGTAGGGCTGACACTGCTTCTCCTGTCTTGAAAATAAGTTCATATTTATTTCCTCCATAATTCTGCTGTAGTTGCTCCTTGTTTGATACGGTGAGGACAGGACCGAAAGGCCTCCAAAAGAAACAGGGATGTAACTTACTGTGAAGAAAATGGAGCCTGGCTATATGGCCAGAAGTTAATTATTCATCAGGCTTACTGTTCCTAGTGAAAAATACCATGGTTGTTGCAAGAAGTCCCTTTCCTACACTGTATTCCTACGCTCTTCTGCTGCAAAAGAGCAGGCAGACCTCACAGCGGAGTTTCCCTGCGAAGGAAGGAGAAATCCAGTTTAAATATCAAAATGAAGGTAGTAAAACATCCTCTGCGGAAATTATCTTTTTTCTGAACACCCAGCGTAGCTCAGCTGTGGGCACGCATCATCACAACGGCAAAGATAAAGGCAGAGAGGAAAGCCAGAAGTTGTAATTTGAGTTGCGCACGGTGTGTGCGGCTCATGCAGTGACCTTGCATCAGATTAATCTAACAGTGGCATTCGACTCCTTTCTCCTTCAACCAGTGTTGTCTCCGATATGTTGGAGCAATATATTTTGTTGCCGTCTGTGAACTCTTTAGTTTGCTGTGCACTGCAGAAGCAGTTAATATGCTTTGCTGGTATATTGTGGAAATTGGGCATTGGCTCTTCACTGAGAGAGGGTGCTGCTTTGGGTTTCAGCCTTTCACCTTTTACTGCGCATTTCTCTCCTGAAGTCATCCTGGCAGTGTCAAAGACAGGCTTGAGATGCTGTTAGTGGAAAAGGCATGACACGAGATGTTTAGCGTCATCTCAGCCGTCACAATTTCCTTCCAGCCTTCTGCATTTGGAAGAGGCACCCTGACTATGTATGGGTGCAGGAGGAATCAGAGACCTGCCTAAAGCTGTTGCCCAAGAGACTTCTGGTTTGAGTTTACGTCCCTAACTGAGGAACGGCAGGCACCAGGGGGACACCCTGAACCCCACCTTACTTAGAAAGAAATCTTAGGCTGGACTTCATGTCCCGATGCAAGAGTTTGCACTGCCAGTTTAAAAGAGCTCCAAAGGAATTGCTTGACCCTACATAATAACACTTGCAGAGTCGTGGGGACAGCACGGGACGCCTTGGTTCTTACAGCCAAGATGGGTTTAATTTTTCTTCAGACACCTCTAATAGGAGAAAACCCGTGCTTCTGCTTTGCTGTCTTGCTAATGTTGCTCCGGCAGCTTCTCTTCAGAAACTGTTTTGTCACTTTACTACTTTTAATTAAAAAAATGCTCTCTTATAATCTTCATCCTTTTTGTCCCTTGCCACAGTTTGCACTCCATAATCATGATCGTTCTTACTGATGAATAGGGTTAGCTTATCCAAATTATCTGACTAACTTCCCGTTCTTTTTTATAGAGAATTGTTTCCCTTCATCTTTCTTGTCTCTGAATGGATCACTCTCAGTTCACACAGGCCCTCTGTCCACTGTCCTGCTGTTACATTTGCATCTATTTTTCATTTTCCAAGATTCGTAAGATTTAGACATTAAAAATATGTATTTCCCTTGGGAAGTTGCGTAGGTTCATTGAGTAGGTAGGTATGTCCTTTACATATGCTGACACGCAGTTGGCTAAAGAAGCTTCCACTGGTTTGCTTGGGAGTTTGCTTCATGGTCTTAATGTATGTAACAACTAGAATATTTTTCTTTACTGATATTATACTTTTTTCATTTCACTGAATTCTGTCTCCCTGGATTACAGTAAAAAATCTGCTCTTAACCTGCCTGGTCAGGGTAGTTGGAGGTGGCTTTAAGAACAGAAGAGCGTGTTTCCTGCAAAGATTTTAATGATGAAGAGGGAAGGGAAGAACAGCAACTGCAGAAATTTCTTCTAAAAGCCTGTCTTTTTTTTTTGCTTTTTTTCTGGAGGTACCAATGTATGTAAGGGTTTTTTTGTATGGTAAGGTTTCTTACATACTGGATTATGATGGCAGGTTAGGGCTGGCTTCTTAAATGCTGGAAAGATGGATGGGATAAAATCCAGGGAGCCATACGCAGGTTGATACGCAATTGAAAATTTGAAGTTTTCCTCATATCCACCAGTGTAAATCAGAAAGGTTTTTTTATCTGTTTAAAGATGTGGAGGAAAGACCAATTAGGGCAGCTCTGCAACTCATTAACCTAGCGGACCGGCAGTCACCCGAGAAGGGTCCATATATGCAATCTGCCTTTACATGTTATAGTAACAAATGTTGCTTAAAAAGTACAAACGATCTCAAGAACAAAGGCTGGACCCCATGTCTTCTTTACCTACCAGTAGGCAACAGCCAGGTAACCCTTTTCTACCCAATTAAACCCAATGTAATCTTGATTTCTGTACAACTGGAGAGCTTCAGGAGGGGAGATGGCAACTGGTATCTGTCATTTGTCTCTCTCACGTTAGCCTCTGGCCAACCATTTAATGTTGTTAGACGGAAGTGTGGAAACAAACTCGCGTTTCCCACTTTCTAGGCAAATGGTCTTGGCAAGCTGTTACAGCAAGAGCCGTCCTAGGTCTTGGTCCAGGTGTGTTCTCCAGCACCGCAGTGGTCTGCACTGACTTCTGTAGGGAGCCTAACCCTGGTCCACGTACCTTAGGGATGCTCTGGCGGTACCCACGGGGATGGAGGGATCCCCAGGGTGGGGCTTGCCTCATGTTGGAGTTAGTTACTTTGATCTGCCTTTGCAGCTCATTAAAAGAGGGGCCCTGCAGGTGGTTTAGAAGTGTCCTTCGTGTGTATTTCTTGTGTGTTGACTATAATGGAATCCTAGGTGATGAGCTCTGACGTAGATACCTGATTCTATTCAGAGACCCCCCCAGTCCTTGAACAGACATAAACCTGCTCAAGTCTTGAGAAAACTGTAGCACATGGTTGGAAATGTGAGCATAGTTAGAATTAAAGCTTGATGGGTTTGGCAGATTTTGATGTCAAACAGGGCTGGGTGCAGAGTGTTCCAGGGTGCAAGGCAGCTGAGCTGTGGTCTGCAGCAGTTTAATCTGGGGGTTGGGTGCCTAAGTCCCACACTGGGTGTGGAGAACGTTGGAGGAATTTGATGCTTTTTTAGCAAGGGATGATAAATAAAAACTCTGCTTAGATGATGCAAATGGAAAATGAAAAAGAAGCCTAGAAGTTAGAGCACTAGCAGGGCCATGAAGAGTTAGGTACAAGCCCTCATGAAGCGTCCTACCCCCGAGCTCCAACGTCTCCATCTCTTTTTGGCAGTAAGTCCCTGAGTCAGAAATGACTTGAACCTGAACGTCCATCGCATCTAGCACAGATAGCCTAAGTGTGGCTTTTTCTCCCTGTGTGACTTCTTTTTTTTTTTTAAAGAAAACATGGAAAAATGATTTTTTTTTCCTCTGGCCAGTGTTCACCCTCCTGTGACCTATTGTAGAAGTTGCTATATAATTTTTGGGGTGTCTGGGCTCACGGGCAATTTTTGAGTGTTTCCACAGTGTCATACTTGTAAAGACAGAAGTTTTGTAGAACAGTTTACAGATGTTTTAAGTTATGTATTTCAGCTAATGTGAAATTAGGACCTGTTTGCATGGAAATGTTCAGAACTAGCTGAAAAGTCTGCAGCTGCACAGTCTTTCAGTTGAACAGGCAGGCTGTGAAGCAGAGGCTTTCATTCGGCTGCCTCACTAGAGCTTACAATAAATGAACTTACTAACGAAGGCTTGAATAGCACAGCCACCTGACTGATAGCTCGCACCTCAAATACTGTTCAGTTTTGGGTCACTCACTACAGGAAGGGTGTTGCATTGCTGGAGCATGTCCAGAGGAGAGCAACAAAGCTGGTGAGGGGTCTGGAGCACAAGTCTGATGGGGAGCAGCTGAGGGAACTGGGGTTGTTTAGTCTGGAGAAGAGGAGGCTGAGGGGAGACCTTATCACCCTCTACAACTACCTGAAAGGAGGTTGTAGTGAGGTGGGGGTTGGCCTTTTCTCCCAGGTAACTGGCAATAGGACAAGGGGATATGGCCTCAAGTTGCACCAGGGGAGATCTAGGTTGGACATTAGGAAAAATTTTTTCACCGAAAGGGTTGTCAGGCTCTGGAATGGGCTGCCCAGGGAAGAGTCCCCATCCTTGGAGGTATTTAAAAGACAGGCAGACGAGGTGGTTAGGGACATGGTTTAGTGGTGGGATGGCACAGTTAGGTTAATGGTTGGACTTGATCTTAAAGGTCTTTTCCAACCTAAATGATTCTACGATCCATTCTAACTGTGGATGGATGGGGGACAGGGGCCCCTGTTTTCAGCGCAGGATCCAATGAGTCAGGAGGAGATAAAGGTTTCCTCAAGGGGTAACAGGAGCAGAGAAGAAGGAGCAAGAGACACACAGTCTGTCCCAACAGTGAGGAATGTGAGACTCTGGAGGCTGTTGGGCCTGTGCTCTAATGCAGGTCATCCTGGAAGCGTTGTAAAGAGCGGCACCTCAGGTGAAGAGCTGGGGAATGGAGCAGGCAAGGGGCAGCCACAGCTTGCCGCTCGTCCTGAAGCGCCAAAGCTCAGGTTACGGGCACTGAGCTCGAGCAGGGGGAGGAAAAGAACCTCTTCCCCATGACCTTCTTTTCCTTCATTTAGTACTGTTGCTTTAGAAACTTGGACTTACCCTTGTGTGATAATGCTCCTGAAGCACCACCGTCTCCTCTCGGAGTCAAGTTTCTGGCTACAAACAATTCGTAGCTGCCCCGGGCCACAGAGGGGACCATTGATGGTGACCTGGAACTGTGGCCCAAGGGCTCGGGTGGGAGGGGTGTCTTGCAGCCTGGATCCAGCCACGGGGACTAGGGAAGCAGAAAGTTGCTTGTGCGTGTGCACATGTACACACGTGTACACCTGCATATGCGTGCATGTATGTGCATATCTGTATATGCATATGCAGATACATCTGTATCTGCATGTGCATATCTGTATATGCATATGCAGATACATCTCTATCTGCATATGCATATTGCACATGTGTGTGGATACTTATTGCGTATGCAGATTATATATATATATATAAAAACCTCATGTTTTAAGCAGGCTGGAGTGTGGACAGGGAGGGAGGGGGATCCTGAGAGCCAGAGGGGAGAGTTAAGGAGCGTTGTGGGCAGCAGCTCTCATCGATGGCTCAGTGAAAGCCCCAGTCCAGCTTGGGAGCCTGCAGGAACAAACCTGAAATGGTCCAAGGGGAGAGGAGCTGTGCACTGTGAAGGGGTCAGGAACCATGTAACCCCGCAGCCAAGCAATCCAGGGGGAGATGTGAAAAAGCCAGGCACCCTGGTTGGCTGCGTGGGGAGATCAGTGTTGCCCGAGTATACCGCAGGGACAGGGTTTGCCTCCTGAGTGAGAGGGAAATAACGAAAAGTACATGGGTGAAGGGCAGAGCTGCTGATTTTGCGATGACAAACGTCTATGCCAACGGAAAGTTATTCAGGAAGAAATAAAATTTAGTTCTTTTATTCTAAAAAACTGTTAAATTCATGCTCTCTTTTATTAAACCCATTTATTAACTTCCCGTAGGTATGAATTAGGAGCAGCTTTGTTCATTGGATGGGCTGGAGCTTCACTCTGCATAATTGGTGGCAGTATATTCTGCTTCTCAATAGCTGAAAACAGTAATTCTCCAAGGTAAAACACAAGCTGTACTTCCTGAAAGAAATCAATGTACCCGCTATATATATATATGTGTGTGGCTTGATTACTTTTCCAAAACCCTTTGTAGTGTGGTTCAGAAAAGGATCATGGGGACGAAAGAAAATAATGGGTTTTAAGGATAATGCTCTGTCCATCATTAATGTAATTAAGAAAAGCTGTTGACTCAGAACAAAAACTCGTGTTTAGATGTACTTGATAAATTTACTACAGCTGCAATAAAAAAGCATTCACTGATGCAGGCAAAGTGGTCAGGTCACCTCACAGAAGTGAATAGGCAAGTTTGTTTAATCACAAATCATCAGATGAGAAGTGAGGGAGGTGAAGGACAGCGGTGGGGGCAGCAGGACCTCCAGCAGCAGCAGAGGGGCGATCGTGAAGAGGCATAGCTGGAGGAAGTAATTTTTCACCAAGGGTCTGCCACAGCCTAAATATTTCAGGATCAGGCCCTAATTTACTTGGCTGTGAATGAGGGATATGAGTTTTTATATAAAGTGAATTGTGAAGAGGGATGCTGGGGGGGAAATGTCAAACTAGAGTAAGACCGCAGAGGCAAGGAAGGTGTCCCCCCTGCCCCCTCCCCTGAAATATATAGGTACGTTCCTATACATTTCTTCTAGTTTTATATTGCCGTAATGCTTGGATTTAGAGGGGTTACCTGTCTGTAGGATGAGCTGTAAATGGTTGATTCTCTTTTCTTTTCAGGAGGGGCTACGCATATAATGGAGCCACATCTGTGCTGTCCGCTCGTACGAAGGTCCACAACAGCGTCCCAGACAAAACCCCACCAAAGCACTTTGACAAGAACGCTTACGTCTAATTCCACTGTTGGCAGATTCAAAGCGTTTTAAAAATGAGTTTGTACGTTTCATGCTGAGTGATTTTTCCCCCAACCCCAATGTAATTACTACTAAGACAATGACTTTTTGAAACATGTAACTTGCAGCTTTTTGCATATTGATGTAAATTTTGTTATGTAATATTTTAAGATTGATGTTGATATTGTAAAGTTTGTACCCAGAAATCATGAGCTGATGTTGCTTTCTTGAAAAAAAAAATAAATGGGGTATTTACCAACTCAGTGTGTCAGTTGCTTACGGGAATGGCATCACACGCGTCAGACTGACTGCAGTGCATCACTGCACCCGTTTCTGAAACAGGTTCCATACTGGACAAAACAGCCATACTCCGTGCAGGTTAACATGTAAAATACCTCACCACTCATTAGCAGTGATGTCGGGATTGCAGAGCACATCGTCACTGCAGTGCTAGACGATGACAGTCAGTGGGAATCAGCAGGCTGAAACACGTCCAGAGGAGAGCAACGAAGCTGGTGAGGGGTCTGGAGCACCAGTCTTACGAGAAGCGGCTGAGGGAACTGGGGTTGTTCAGCCTGGACAAGAGGAGGCTGAGGGGAGACCTTATCGCCCTCTACAGCTGCCTGACAGGCTGTAGTGAGGGGGGCGTTGGTCTCTTCTCCCAGGTAACGGGCTATATGATGAGAGGAAATGGCCTCAAGTTGCACAAGGGCAGGTTTAGGTTGGACTTTAGGAAAAATTTCTTCACTGAAAGGGTTGTCAAGCAATGGAACGGGCTGCCCAGGGAAGTGGTTGAGTCCTCATCCCTGGAGGTATTTAAAAGATGAGGTGCTGAGGGACATGGTTTAGTGGTGGGGGTTAGGTTAACAGTCAGACTTGATGATCTTAAAGGTCTTTTCCAACCTAAACGATTCTATGAGTCTATGATTCTAACTTGGTCAATTTGGTGCCATAGGAATAAGAAGAGGAAGAGGATGGGTGAAGTAGAAGACTTGGGGGAGGCAGGAGGAGGTACTAAGAAGAGTCAGGGCCAGTGGTTACGAAAACCCTCACCAGAGAGGGTCTCGCATGGCCCAAGAACAATGCATGTATGAGAAGACGGCTGCAGGCGTGATCGTGAGCATCCGTGTGCATGTCAGGGAGAGGGAAGGTTGAGGCTGCAGCCTTCGGGGAGTTTTGCGGTGGGCAAGCCAAGGCTTGGAGACAGTTCCTGCGTTCTACATTTGCTTTGCACCACCAGGCCCTTGCCTGGCCTCAGCGCTCACCCCTGCTGGCGACAAGGCACTTGGAGGGGTGGTTTTCATTCCCTCCCGCTGGGCAGGGTGCCTGGACGCCTTTGGCTCCAGAATGGCTCCAAGCCACTGGGTTATGAAAGAGAAGGAAAAACCCCAGGCAGTACCAGCTGGCCTGCTCTGCCAATGACATCCCTGAAGGGCTGACCGAATAAAAGCAATCAATACTTAACAGCACTTTTTAGATAATCCCGAATTAGGTACAACAGGACAAAAATTCAGCTAGTACTTTTTTTTTTTTGGGAGCCCTGTCCATAGAAATGCCATGGCTTTTGAGGGAATATTTGTACAATGATTCAATAAATGAGATCAGAGATTATGAATAACCACAAAATGCTTTCTAGACTGGGACCCTTAAAATTAGACACAAACTCAGGTCTGTCTTGAGGCTTGAACCGATGGACCCTTGGAGTTTCCTTCTGGAACAAGGGTGTAAACATAAAAAATTAATAGTCCTATTTATCAATGGCACAAAACCTGTTCTATCATACTGTAGCTGATACCATCTAAAATACGTCAAAACTACAAAGCCATTCAAGGTTCTTTTTATTTTACCTTACTTTTGTATTTCGTTTAAGTCAAAACACTGTTGTGGTGTTCTTAAGGCGGCAGCCAATATGGACAAAACAGAAATCTGAAAATACTTGCACAAGGGCAGGTCAGTACTTTCTTCACCTTAGCTTGACATTTTAATTTCTTTTCCAATTTTTGTGCTTTTATGTTAATGAAGACTCAACTCTCATCAAAAAAAGAAAAAAAAAGTCACTTACCAAAACAGGAGGCATTTAATAATAACTGGCTTTATAGCTGAGGCCTTTTTTTCCTTTTCATTTGGTGTTTATTGTAAACCATGTTAGAAATGTAACATTTTACTATATGGAAATATTTTATTTAAAATGTTCACAATTTTATATAAAGTTTATGATAAAATACAAGAAAATGTGCATTAAAAAAATTTATAAAGTAATACTCTGGAGTAAATTCTGTTCATTGGTTAACAGGCTTTCTTGCAAAACCAGTTTCAATCTTTAATGTAAACATTAGAGGCAAAATCTTCACCTCAGTGAAATCAAAAGAGACTTTCACCACTGAGTTCATGAGATTCGCAAACAGACGTGGCCAGCAATGTGTATACAAATATTCTTGTTTTAAACTCAGGAGTGAAAGACACAAGAGCTCTCTAAACTGTATTCCTTGTTACTACATGACCAATATGAGACATGAACAGGAAACACTCGATGCTTTCAACTACATTTTCAAGCCCAACAGAACCTGAAAGCAGTACCTCCCATCAGGAATGCAGCAATTATATATCTGAAGAATCACTCCAGTCTGTTACAGTGACTAAGCTGCTTTTTAACGTGCTTGTATTATCAGCTTCATGAGGGCCTGTTAAAATAACAAAAAAATTTAATGATTATTAGTAATATTTTGGGGGTATTTTTACTCTGTATTTATCTGTGAGATAAAACCACATGCTATGTGAGCAAACACCTGTGGACTTTAGGAAGTCCAGAACTTCAAACGGTGAGGGAATTACAAGTGTTGATAATATGAAGGCTGTTTCTGTCACAGAATACAATGCACAGTACAAGCAGTCAGTGTCAACATTACTTTCCCTTTAAAAATAACCCTAAGTATCTTTACGTAACTGACAGAGTTTTAACCTTTAAGTACACTGAAATGTTAGGGCTTGAAACTACTATCTAAGTTCCATGTAAGATTAAGGCTATTACTTTACCAGTAGCTCAAATATTTGTCTCAGCCTGGTAGGTCACTTAGATATCTTGAACAAACCTGAAATTTGATTATTATTCTTAAGACAAAGTAAAACAATTTCCCTACTCCCTTAAATTTGGGAAGGGATTAAAAAAAATCCTGGATGATTAATTTTTAAGACAAGGTTGAAGCCTGATAGTACTATATATTTAAAAATCTCAAATTTAAGTTTCTTGGCATCTCTTTGTATTTATGTGTGTGTTGTTTACGTACAAGTATTTATCATAAATATGTATGATATTTATATGACATAAAACCCAAGTACACAGTTTTCCTTACTTGTTATTTTCTTATAAAATACCATATATTGAATTAGAATGTGTAATACAGTATACTTAAGTTCTCCTCTAGGTGTGTTAGGCGCTTAAGGCTTATAATGTAGAAATATGAATACGTTACCTTCCTCCTTTGGTACGCTTGTCTTCGGAAGACCCCAGGCATGTACCACAGATGCAGCGTTTGAATCATTTTTCTGAACTGTCAGTGCCTTCTGGCCTCTATCATCTTTCATTAATAAAAAGTCTTCTTCTACTGACGATATATCCCAGTCATCTTCGTCAACTTCTGTGAACTAATAGGGAGAAGAAAAAACATGCATTTTTCCGCTGTCTGTTCAAGTTGTGCCGAGATCTTCCATAAACTCAGTAATGTGAAACTGCTAAGGAAAAATGCACTGGCACATGGCCTTTATGACATCTATCACCACAATTTTAAAATCCACATAATTCAATTACCTAAATGATATTCATTCACTATTATAGTTCTAAAGCCAAAAGTGTTTGGGTTTTTTTTTAAGTCAGGAACTGCAAAAGTTAAAAAGTTCTGTCAGTTTCGTAACTGGCAGAAACCTATGTTTTCAGGTATTACATGTCTAACTTAAAAAAGGATCACCTTTTCTGGGATATTAGCTATTCCAATGAGATGGGAAGTCCTTTAAGCATTAGAACATACATTACTTACATGAAAATAAAGACATGATGTGTTATCATGCAAGTTGGCAGTTTAGTTTGCTATTTAAGCATTCTGTAGTCACACCAGAAGAAATTAATATTGCAATAAAGGCCTTTTCAATTTAAAACTAATTTATTTAAAAAGAAAAATAAATAATGAAAGTTAAAAAAACCACATGGTGCTCAAAGTTAAAATATATATTCCTCTTAAGACTCACAGTCAGCATGTATATTTTTAATTAAGTGGTGGATTTGCATAATGAGTTCACAAAATGAGAGTCAAGTGAAACAGATGAACCTGAAGGCAACAAGTCCATGGTCTTTCTTATCTCATCTGCCTGAGAACTAAATATCTTCACTCAGATTTTGAAAGAAGAGCTACAGTATTTCCCTGTTTGTCCATCAGATGTGGTTCAATGGAATCAAGCCATTATTAGAGAGCTTAACTGTGGAATGCGAGAGGTGGTTTCTCACAAAGCTAAAACCTTATTTCACTGGAATCTCTCAATATTACAGTAAGATACAGAAGGTGCTTATATTGCACAGAAGAAAGACTCAGATGCTATTAGAAAACAATGTAAGGTATGTACATACTAGAGAAAAATCAGCAAATATGAACGTGTCATGTGTCTCGAAAGGAAGGAGGAGACTGCAGTAGTGCTCTATCTTGCAACATAATTCAATGTTAACATTGCAAACTGTTTTTTAAAAACAGACAGATCTGCTCAGTGTGCTGTATTATTAACATACCAGGATTCAACATTTTGCTGTTTTAAATTAGCTGCATTTGGAGGGTGTGGTAATGTCAGTCACATATATTGAGAAATGCTGAAGGAAGAGGTTCCTCAAATATTCATTAAGTCCCAACTGATTTTTAAAGTACAAAATACAAAGAAAAATGTCAACTTCCAACAGAATTCAGTTTTGATCAAGTGTAAATACACAGAACCAATCAAAACTGCTAAGCAGTTTTATTACCTCAAAGCCTTACTCCAAATACCATAATCTGTACAATCTCTGTACAGGTGAACTCAAGTAATACAGCTTCAGGTAAGCACAAAACTAATTTTCTCTAAAATGTTTCTGAAGCAACTTCTGCAAAAAATGGCCTTTATAAAACATGACAATGGAATGACTTACAAAGGTTTTAATGGTATTGTGGGTTTTGAGAACAACCATTAGCAGCTATAAGTATTTATGCTATTAGTATTTAAGCTAATAAAAAAATCAGATTTTCAGAGAAACCATCATTCCAATGGCATTTTGTGCTTATGTCTTTGGGCACCTTTGAAAATCCCACCTAAAATGTGAAGAATAAACTTAAACTATATACTTACATTCAAACATACAAATATGGACATGAATATATGCACATTCACATACAATTAGCAAGAATACAAGATGGTGTGTTGTTCTGTAAAGATTCCATAAACAAAGTATGAATGCCTGCCCTGAGTTCATAACTCATTTCAAAGTCATCATGTCCATACAGCAACACACCACCGTGTTAATACATCAGGGACACAGTGTATTCTAAATTAATTATAGCAAAAATATTTTTCATGGAATCATGGAATGGTTTGGGTTGGAAGGGACTTCTAGAGGTCATCTAGCCCAACACCCTGCCATGGGCAGGGACATCTTTCACTAGATCAGGTTCCTCAAAGCCCTCTCCAACTTGACCTTGAACACTTCTAATGATGGGGCACCCACAACTTCTCTGGCCAGCCTGTTCCAGTGTCTCACCACCCTCATCATAAAAAATTTCCTCCTTATATCCAATCTAAACTTACTCTCAGTTTAAGTCCATTGCCCCTTGTCCTGTCACTACAGGCCTTGGTAAAAAGTTTTTCTCCATATTTCTTCTAAGCCCCCTTTATATTTTGAAAGGCTGCCATCAGGTCTCCCCAGAGCCTTCTTTCCTCCAGGCTGAACCACCCCAACTCTATCAGCCTGTCCTCATAGGAGAGGTGCTCCAGCCCTCAGATCATTTTTGTGGCCCTCTTCTTGACCCACTCCAACAGCTCCATGTCTTTCTTGTACTGGGGACCCCAGAACTGGACACGCTATTCCAGGTGGGGTCTCATGAGAGCAGAGTGGAGGGGCAGAATCACCCCCTCAACCTGCTGGCCATGCTTCTTTTCATGCAGCCCAGGATATGACTGTCTTTCTGGGCTGCAAGCACACATGGCCGGCTCATGTCCAATTTTTCATTCACCAGTATCCCCAAGTCCTTCTCCACAGTGCTGCTCTCAATCCATTCATCCCTCAGTCAGTATTGATATTGCGGATTGTCCCAGGACCTTGCGCTTGGCCTTGTTGAACTTCATGAGGTTCACATTGGCCCACTCCTCAAGCCTGTCAACATCCCTCTGGATGGCATCCCTTCCCTCCAGCATGTCGATTGCACCACTCAGCTTGGTGTCATCTGCAAACTTGCTGAGGGTGCACTCCATCCCACTATGTCACTAATAAAGATACTGAACAGTACTGGTCCCAGTACACACCTTGGAGGGACACCACTCATTCCTGATTTCAACTTGGACATTGAGCCATTGAGTATAACTCCTTGGATGTGGTGATCCAGCCAGTTCCTTATCCATCTAACAGTTCAGCCATCAAACCCGTATGTGTACAATTTAGAGTTAAGAATGTTGTTTGGGATAGTATCAAATGCCTTACAGAGTCCAAGTAGATGACATCAGTAGCTCTTCCCTTGTCCATTGATGCTGTCACTCCATCATAGAAGGCCACTAGATTATTCAGGCATGATTTGCCCTTGGTGAAGCCGTGCTGGGTGTCTCTAATCACCTCCCTGTCTTCCATATGTTTCAACATATCTTCCAGGAGGATCTGTTCCACAATCTTACCAGGCACAGCAGTGAGGCTGACTGGTTGGTAGTTCCCAGGTCCTCCTTTTTATCCTTTTTAAAAATGGGTTTGATGTTTCCCTTTTTTCAGTCAGGGACTTCACCTGACTGCCATGACTTTTCAAATATGATTCAGAGTGGCTTGGCAACTACATCAGCAGATTTCCTTAGGACCTTGGGCAGCATCTCATCAGGTCCCATGGACTTAGGTATGTTCAGGTTCCTCAGGTGGTCTCGAACCTGATCTTCTCCCACGATGGGAAGGACTTCATTCCCCCAGTCCCTGCCTTGAGGTTCAGGGGCTTGAGAAATGTGGGAAGAGAGGTTACCAGTGAAAACTAAGGCAGCTTTAAAACATAGATCTTAAGATCTTTGCTACAGCTTTTTGCTCTTGAAGCTGAAATTCCTTAACACAGTGGCCATCTATAGATCTTCACAAAATATAACATCCCCTAAATTTAACTGAGAACACTTCACAGTCTCGTATCATCTGACATTGCACATAATTTGAAAGTAACATTTGGACAGAAAAATACACTGTAATAGTCATGTCTGAGTTGATAAATTTGAGTCTGGTGTGATTTGCAGCTTCCACCCAGTCAATGAACAAGTTAAGTGTCACCAGTGGCAACTAAAAGCACACACCCTAAATGCGATTACCCTACCATTACAGCTAAAATTGATTAAGACAATCTCCCCTTTCTGGAAACTGAAATAGAAGTGTCACTGTTTCTGGGAGGAGTGATAAATTTCAGATTTAACTGTTAGTCAGGAAGCCCTAAGGTATCAGTTTTATTATGGATAACAGGATTTTCAGTAATTATTATTTGTTTATTTAGTGAAAAAATATTTTCTTGAATGCTAGAACTAGCATCTGGCTGTCTACTTCAATATAATAACAACTACTAAAGCTGAAATAAATAGCACTATCTGCTGTTGACTTCCGATTTGGAGTAACTTTTGTTCTTAAAAAATCATTCAGGCAAAGATCAATTTACATCAAAGTGGCTATCCAATTATAAAACTCTAAACTGAGGGGAAAACTGGGACCGTAGGAGCCTGAGGGGTAAATAATAAGTTGTGTTAGTATTCTGATTGTGAACACATGCCATACTCAATGGACAGACATCAGTGATATCTCTGATGTCGTTTGAAAACAGTGTATGACTGTAAATAGTTGCAGTAGAAGAAATACTCAAAAATGGAATTTGTCCCCTCATTAAAATGTATTTAGAAGTTCCATATCAGATAAAGCTCTAGAAATAAAAATGTTTTAAAATATTAGATAAGCAAATCCATTTTTCCCCTATCAAAACAAGATACTAGGAAAACAAGTAAAGGAGGACTCTCTCTAGGCTGCTAGAATACGAGATAAAATCTACACCGATTGTGCCCAAACTTTAGGCTAGCTGTAGTGATCCAAAATAGTCATGGCATAAGCTAATAAGCAGTGTGGATGAAGAGGTCACTTGCCACAACTCAACTGCTAGCACTTTTCTATATACCAGTGCAGACGTACCCAAAAAGACTACTTAGCTCTAATTACAAAACTGTCTTTGAGAATTAAGTAAGTTCTTCATTGCATCAAGATGGTTTCAGCATGAAAAAAAAAGTTATAGATATATATCTAGTTCAATTACTTAATGAAATAATAATGGCTATTAAAAGTGATACCTTCAGTTCTTGCACCTCTTCTTTCTTAATAAATGCCTGTGCAACATTAATCCCTCCAGCTGGTTTGTTCTTATTTCCATGGTTAGAAAGACTCTTTCCAACTTGTTCCGTCAGTTTTTGAATAACTGCTCCTAAAGTTCATAAAAAATTATATTGACAGTTTCCATTCACAAGTAAGGGGCTTTACTGTAAACCCTCTAGAAATCTTCCACAAAGGAAAAATGAGTAAAAGGCTGAGAAAAACCTTTTTAGACAAGTCTCTCTGAGGCACAGACTGTCTCTTTTTCTGCATTTATGTAAACCAGCATGCTACACACCTAATTTGAACTGACATCTCTAAGTACTACATTAATATAAACATATTAGCAAAACCATAAAGCGCACACAAATACACATACACTCAAGACTAGACAGTCTGCCTTCATTACGTTTTCTAACACAGAAATATTATCAGGAAATGAAAAATCATGCACAGCTGTTACAACATGCATACAAAAGCAGTGACAAAACCTTTTGAAGTTTTCACAGGTGTTCCAGTTTCTTCAATTTCACTTCCCTCCATCCCATCCATATCGCCTTTGCAAGAAGCCTTCTGAAAAGCACTGACTTTGCTGCTTGATGTTTTTGACTGCTTTTGCAATAATTCTGGTGATATGTAAGCCTGCTTAATATCGTCTTCATCTACTTCTTCCTCTGAACTGAATGGTGGAGTTCTAGGGAAAAAACACATACAACCCAAGGACTTAGTGGGTTTCAGTGACTGCATTGGTATATACATATTTAAGCTTCCTTGTATTTGCCTTTCCAGTAATATGTGCATTTTTCTTATGTAAAAAAACCCAGGAGGTGCCATAAATTCTAACTATCCATAAAACTATTTAAAAGAAATCATGCTGCTAAGTAAACTCAGAGTTATCACAAAATGATCTCTTATATAGACACGATTATTTCCATCTATGCAACTATCTTTACAAAACAACAGACCAATATATAACAAGTTTTGCCAGGCAAACAAAGATAGGCTTTCATGGATCAGCAGGGAGATAAAAATACGGGGTCAAGGAATCTGTGCCACAGAAAAAGTCTGTTCTGACATTCTGTTAGATGAAAATTATTCTGGAATTTTTCACTGCAGGAATCATAGAATCACAGAATACCAGCTTGGAAGGGACCTCAAGGATCATCTGGTCCAACCTTCCTAGGCAAGAGCACAGTCTAGACAAGATGGCCTAGCACCCTAACCAGCTGAGTCTTGAAAGTGTCCAGGGTGGCAAAGTCAACCACATCCCTGGGGAGATTATTCCAATGGTTGACTGTTCTCATGGTGAAAAATTTTATTCTTGTGCCTAATCAGAATGTCCCCAAGAGTAACTTGTATCCATTCCCCCTTGTCCTCTCCACGTGACTCCTTGTAAAAAGGGAGTCTCCATTTTCTTTGTAACTACTCTTGAAGTACTGGTACATGGTGATGAGATCCCCTCTAAGCCATCTTTTCTCAAGGCTGAATAAACCCAGTTCTCTCAGCTTTTCTGCATATGCCAGGCTTCCCCATCCTCTGATCATCTTGGTGGCCCTTCTCTGCACCCCCTCCAGCCTGCCCACAGCTTTTTTGTATGGCAGGGACCAGAACTGTATACAGTATTCCAGGTGTGGCCTGACAAGCGCTGAGTAGAGTGGGATAATGGCTTCTTTATCTCTGCTGGTGATGCCCTTTTTGATGCAACCCAGCATCCTATTGGCCGCCTTCGCCGCAGCAGCACACTGCTCACTTACATTGAGCTTCCTCTCCACCAGGACCCCGAGGTCCCTTTCCACAGAGCTGCTCTCCAGCCAGGTGGATCCCAGCCTGTGCTGCACTCCTGCATGTTTTCCCAGGTGCAAGCCCTTACACTTGTCCATGTTGAACTTCATAAAGTTCTTGTTAGCCTACTCTTCCAGCCTATCCAGGTCTTCCTGTAGAGTGGCTCTCCATTCCAGAGTGTCTACTTCCCCACTCAATTTGGTGTTGTCTGCAAACTTCATCAGGTTACACTTGGTCCTGTCATCAAGATCTCTTGTGAAGATATTGAATAACATTGGGCCCAATATCGATTCCTAGGGGACCCCACTTGTGATGGGTTGCCAGTTTGAAAAAGCTATTTACCACCACCCTTTGGGTGCAGCCTGTCAGCCAAATCCCCACCTACTGCACACATCACTTGTCTAGGCCATAATGCATCAATTTATCCAGGAGGAGGCTGTGGGGAACTGTGTTGAAAGCCTTGGAGAAGTCCAGGTAGATGATGTCCACCGCTTACCCTATGTCAACAAAGCAGGTCACTTTATCATAGAAGGCCACCAGATTCGTCAAGGACGATCTGCCCTTAGTGAAGCTGTGTTGGCTTTTCCCAATCATGTGCTTCATTTGGCTTGTGATGGCCCCCAGGAGAATTCGTTCCATAACTTTCCTGGGGACTGAAGTAAGACTAATGGGCTTGTAATTACCCGGATCCTCCCTTGAGCCCTTCTTGCAGATCGGAGTAACATTTGCCTTCCTCCAGTCCTCTGGAACATCCCCTGATCTCCACAACTTCTCAAAGATTATGGAGAGTGGCCTCGCAATGACATCAGCCAGCTGTCTTAACATCCTTGAGTGGATGGTGTCAGGGCTCATCGATTTGTAGGGGTCAAGCTCCTGTAGTAATTCACATACTAACTCTTCCTTCACTGATGGTGGTCTATGTTTGGATCAACCTCAATTTTCCTTCCCAAAGCCTGGGACCCAACAGTGCTGGTAATGACAGGTGAAGAAAGTGTTGAAAACCTCTGCCTTTTCAGCATTGTTGGTGACCGATTCACCTCTTCTGTTTAACAGTGGGCCTATGTTTTCCTTCTGTTTCTGCTTGTTTTTTACACACCTGAAGAACCCTTTCTTGTGATTTTTGACATCTCTGGCCAGTTTCAATTCAAGCTGGGCTTTTGTTTTTCTAACTGCATCTCTGCACACTCTGGCAATGTCCTTGTACTTCTCAATGGATAATCTTCCACTTCTCCATCTCTGGTACACTTTTGGTATTGAGCAGACCCAGGAGCTTGCAGTTGAGCCAAGGGTGCCTCTTGCTCCACCTACTTCCCTTTCCTTTATAGGAGATAAACTGGTTTTGTGCTTCCAGGAGAGCGTTCTTGAAGAACCCCCAGCACTCACTATCTCCTTTATCCTCCATGGAAGCATCCCACGGAATCCCTCCCAGCTGAGCTCTGAGAGAGCTGAATTTTGCTCTTCTAAAATCTCAAAAAACCTTTGTCTTTAGTACTAACCTTCAGCTTGCTCAGCAGGACCCCAAACTCACAGTATTCTGATTGCTGCAGCCAAGGTTGTTACTAACCAAGATATTACAAAGCAGGTTTTCTTGGTTTGTGAATAGCAAGTCCAGCAGTGCCTCATTCCTTGTTGGCACATCTAACATTTGTATGAGGAAACAGTCCTCTATGCATTCCAGGAACTTGATGGATGACATGCGAGCTGCTGTATTGTTCTCCCAACAAATGTCTGGGTAGCTGAAGTCACCCGGAAGAACCAGCTTGGTTTGGATTGGTAGCCGATGCCTGCTGTAAGATCCCTCTTGGAGATGACCAGTCTGATCTTGACCCAGAGGCATTCACTAGGGCTTCCACAATTGCCATAGTTGACTTCTATACATTCAAGGTTCTCCTTAACAGAGAGCGTGACGGTGCCTCCTCTTCTTCCCTGCCTGTCTTTACAAAACAGCCTATAGCCATCCATTGCAATCCTCCAGTCATGTGAGTTCTTCCACCGCGTTTCAGTTATTCCTATGATACCATAACTTTTCTGACCGGGCACAGAGCTCCAGTTCCTCCTGCTTGTTTCCCAGACTGTGTGCATTTGTATACACACACTTGAGGTGGTTGCTCTTCTGGTTCACATCTTGGGAGACAGTTAAGGAACACTTGTTGCCGCACTGGTTGGCCTGACTTACTCCCCAGAAAATTACAAAGTAATGTGCCTGATGTGAGTGGAATCTGGAATATTGTGTTTAATTTTGGTCATAGTAAGAAAATGTTGACAAACTGAAAAAATAAGGTCACCAAAGTCTTTAAATGCTTTTAACAGGCTCAGAAAAAGCATCTGAGAACAAAACTAAAGGAAGCGATACTACCCGATTTTACTGAATGTCCCTCTGTGGTTCACAACAAAGAAAACATCTGCTGAGAGAAGAACATGCTGTCTTTCAGGGATTATAACAACAGACTCAAATGGAATAATACTTTAAATCAAAGTATGAAATATAGAGTCCAGAAAGTGTTTACAATTTCAGCTCAAGAGTAGCTTTTGCACAGCAAGCATGTGAATATTCAGTCACCAGAAATGTTTTCTTCAAAAATACAAAAGAACAAAACATACGTGATACTAGATGTCTTTCTGGAAACTCCATTTCCAAAAAGCTTCCTGGATCTAAAAATAACAAGACAAGTTATTTCAAGACTGACAGTCAACTAAGTAAGCATAAAGTTTATAGAGAAGTAATGTGAATTCTTTGCTCAATTCTTACGATATTAGCAGGAAATATTCACATCAGTCACAAAAACCCAAACCCATAGGATTGTTACCTGAGGTATGCATACTATGAGAATAGCATCTCTTACTTTGGTGTAGATGTATTCTCAGTGGTTGCTGTTCTTTGTTCAGCTGGGCGGACAGCTGTTGAAGACCGTTTTACTGTTTTTTGTGGTGTGGCAGATGAGGGAATTCCTAACTGATTGAACTTCTGTTTATCTACAAGAGAAGTTATCTATCTCATTATTAGAAATTATGTTTGGTATCTTTTATATTTAATTTCTAAAATTAAAGACGTCTCTGCTGCGGATTTTAGTTTTACAAAAAAGAAGAAAAAAAAGTAATTTTTTTCTTCAAAGCAGTTCAGAGTTACCACATATCTGGTCAACACAGGAGCTAAGATTTCTGCAGTTAAACACAATGTCAAGAACCCTTTAAAGGAAACTGTTTAGTTGGCCATAATTCTATAGAATATTTATATGAAAAAATATGAAAGCAGCTATACAGAAATGTTGCTAAATAAAACCTTAAATAGGAGTTATAAAATGTAAGAGAATGAAAAAAAAAAACAAAAAACATTTTAACCTTCAGAAGGAAGCTGAGGACAGGAAACAGGTCTATTACAAGATGACGATTTCTCTTCAACCCTAAAGCTAACTTGGCGTTCAAGATGCTCTCGAATTCGCTGAATGTCAGGCTCTTGCTTCTGTTTGCATTCTCTAGCAGATTGAATAGCACGCAAAATTTTATTTAAGCGCTCATTTGGGATACCGCGAACACCCTAAGGAAACAAATTGTATTGTAAACACAGGGGCTATTAGTTCTGGGATTTCTATCCTACAATCATATACATGATTTTAAACTTCAAATATCACAAAGCTTGTAGAAAAATCACAAAAGTTGGTAACACAGCTCACAGGTGTAGCCTTATCCTCCACAACTGTAATTTGATGAACATCCTCTCAGGTTAATGAATTACACTTATTTATAACATGTGAAAATTTAGCTTTGGATTTTATAGGTTGAGGGTTGTGGTACAGGAGTGAAAAAGAATAGCAAAAAAGCGGGACAATTTATTTTCAATAACTCAAAATAATCTTACTGCTTTAATTCCCAAGGATTCAAGCTTCTCCTCCAGGGCTTGCTCCAAAACAACTCGTAATTCTTTAGTTAAAGAAGGATCAGTCTTCAAAGCATTTATTAAATAGTGGTTACTTCTAACTGTTTTATGATCACCTTTCTCAATTTCTGAAATAAGAATGGAAAAATGCATTTAAGGGACATTTGAAAAATCCACAGTACACGAGACAATTAAAAACTGCACTGAAGCATGCATTTTTTAGAAACACTATAGAGATACATGCACACTTTTTGTCTACATGGAGTTGTATTCTTTTTAAAATCCTGGGCTAGCTTACAAAAGTCAGCTCACCTGGAATCTATACCTCAGCACCTTGTACTCACCATCACAAGTATCTTTTATTTATTTTTCTTGTTACAGAATCACTGTAAAGATATATGGCTGAATATTTAGCAACAAAGATCTTTACTTTTAGAACAGTCCTTGGAAACTTCTGATAAAGAAAGACTACCTTCTGGTAATTAAGTTCTCTAAAAGTGATACTTCAAATCAAAGCTGAACTCTAGCAGGAATTAGAAGAGGAATATGACAAACTTGTTCTCAAGAAAAGTTTCACACAACATAATGTTCTCTGATAAAAAACACCTACTGAAACAAAATCTTTGGAAAGTTTTAACGCTTTCAGAAGTCTTGGTAAAGACAAAACCTTAGTCTGAGGCAGACCATTTCACAGAAAATACATGATGGAGAATACTTATCTTCAAAACTCTTTCAAGGACAAAGTTCAGTGTCGTGTTTTCTTCCATGCAGGTCTATGACATCATACATACTTAAAAGCAGACAAAGAAGTTTCTCTCTCTTTTCCTTGCTTTAAGTGTCAGTAATGCCATGAACTCTTATGCAAGTAATAAAGAATCATCTAGACAGATTCTTCCATCTAAATTAAAGACTGACATTTAAGTTAGGCCAAAGTATTATAGGGTTATACAAAGGAGTAAAGACACAAAACATACCCATTTAGAACCTGCCTATAAAGTGTCTCTGGCAAGACAAAGTTTTACCGAATACTACTTATACCAAGTGAACCAATAATCAGTGGGACCATGGTAGCTTCTGTCTGGCAGCGGTCAGCAAAGCTGTCAAAGAATGCACAGAGGGGTATGCAGCATCCCAGGAAAGCATGCTGTAAAGCACACTCCCAACTTCACCCCCTGAAGTAAAAGGTAAATCTTGGGCAGGAGTTTGTCTCTTTCCAGTATGCCTTACAGGGCAGCAGAGTCATTTGCCAGTCCACAGACAAGGATGTCAATGAAGGAATAGTTCCATATTGTGACTTCCAAATGTTTTCTTTCAAAACAAACTTTTCCTATTTTTAAACAATGATTGCTTAAAAAGCAGTTCCATTTAGTTTTTGTCTTTGTTTAAGGGAAAGATAAGCACCCTGAAGAGGAGCCAAAAAAGCCTTAAGATACACAAATGATATTTAGGTTGCTTTGAGGCAGTGGCTTCTGATGGATCTGGGAAAGAACTGTAGGTAATGAAAACTGAAAAAGTGTGCAGCTACCATGCTAAGAGACCTGTGCTGAAGAGTACAGAATCTGGCTGAAATCTTAACTGGCTTTGGGAACTGTGTGGACAATTCAGTCATTGACAGCGGTGGGATGAAAAGTGATTTGCCTGGAGAGCTGAGTCCTAGAAGAGGCAAACTACTGGTCGGTGTGGAAACATAGGGCTATCAGACCATCCCCAATCAGGAAAAGGTGCATAATGCAGTAGGAAATCTTCCCACAAAGCCAGACATGAGACATTTTAAAGCACAAAGCTCCAAGGAGCCTTCTGAAAATCCTGTTCCTTTCAGATGTTAATCCTTACAATAAAATAGATCCATTTTAAATCACTTAAAAATTCATAATTATTACATACTAATATGGGTAACAAGACTATCCAGCATTATCCTAATTAATGACAATATTAATTCTTGCTAATTAACTCAAGCCAAATCCTCTTTGCTGGAGCCAACTATTTAAGGACCTGGTTTCTTATTAATTTTTGTTTTTTAAAAAAACCCCTAAATATTAGATTTGACAACTTTGGAGACAAGGGACCTTAAGTTTGGTCCACTGTCTCAGCTCCTACACAATCCTATGCAATACTCTGCAAAGTCAAGAATTTTCACACTCTCCCTTACAAATGGCTGTCACTGAAAACAAAAAAAATCTTGGTCTATCTTTTCAGACTGCATTCTTTCTTTCTCTCTTTTGTACTGCAGGCCATGCCTTTAGGCACAGCAGAAGAATCAAAGACAATCCATCAAGAGACAAGATGGCAAGCAAGAGAAGGAGCGGAAAGAACGTCAAAAATGCGAGCAGTCTTTTATTTCAGTTTGTTCAAAGTCACTGGATTTTCCCTGGGGAAACCTCTCACTTATGCCCAGATGTATTCAAACAACAATTTTGGTTTTGAAACAGCATCATTCCTTCAAAATTTAAACTCATTGGCTGTAAGTTTCAAGACTGATTTTGGTTTTTGCACACAGTACAGATTATTATGCTATTCAGCTATTTCATGTTTCATCTAAAGTACTGTTAGACTTCTTCAGGAGAAGAACACCCTGCAGGATGAACCAATGCTTTCTCTTCTGTCACTGTAACTGTGGCCTTCTTCAAGTTTTCCTCAGGTGAAGCAGAAGAACAGCTGCCAACATTGGGCTATGTAATTTCATTCAGAATTGCACAACCCTTGCTGGAGCTGTGGCTGCTTAGAGGTAGATGTAACTTAGATTACTTGCAAAAGTATCTTTGGTGCATCTATGGAAGTGCACCATTTCAACCTCCACCACCAAGTTCCTTCTTAGAATCATAGAATCATTTAGGTTGGAAAAGACCTTTAAGATCATCAAGTCCAACTGTTAACCTAACCCTGCCATCCCACCACTAAACCATGTCCCTAAGCACCTCTTATACTCTTTATCCTCTTAAGCAGAGTTTGAAAAAGTAACCATACATTGCAATAGCATCAACACCAAAAATTTCCTAGTAAGGGGGTATTCCCCATCAAACAGTTTTGCTCTGCTTAGCTCAAGTGCCTTTAGACATGTGGAACATGCCTGCTTAAAGAGTTAGCCAGCTTTCCATAAAAACATTGAACATGGATAAGGAAATCATAGTATTTACAAGCACCGATAGCAAACAGGAGACTGACACAAACAAGGAATGTTCCCACCCAAATCACATAAGCATACTCATACAATGAAAAAAATACTGTAGGTATGAAATAATATTTACATTTTTATTTTCCAGAAACACATGCCACTACATTTTGAGCTGAATCAACCATTACCTTTTTCTTCTTCTGAAAGCTCCTCTATGGGCTCCAGCATATGCACCAAGGGTGCCTGCTCTAATAACGAGGAAGAACAGGAACACCAGACAAACAGGACAGAAGAAGGTCAAGGTCCAGAGTGGGAAAGTTAGGCAAAAAAACACACTGACGTCAATTTTCCTGATTGCTGACAACCTGCCTAACAATCACAAACCCAATGCAGCGGGACTCTTCACTGCCTTGGTGGTACATTTTTGTAGAGGAGACCCTAATACAATAGTCACTTCAGGAGTGATTCAGCTGCCCAGACATGGGTGTCTAGTGTCATAGTATCAGAGTTTTTAAGCCATCAGCACAAGGCTGGCTGATAGGTCACACAACTGTAGAAAAAACAGTGCCCTTCTGGAATGGCACCCTGAGGCCATGTGGGATGTTTTTAGGCATCTACAATGACAAGGCCACCTAGGATTATGTAAATGAATACTGTCATTCATTTCTCATAAGAAACATTTTGATTTTTAAATTTATTTTAAAATATTGTTTATGTACAATTTGATACTAAAAGTTTACAAAAGGCAAGTAAAATGGACATACATACAAATCCTCAAAAACATATGGAAAAAATATATTAACTCATTATTCCAGGGAATTATTAAGTACTGAGTCCATACATGCAAGACATAGAAAAATTTTATATATATATATATATGATAATTTCCAGTAAAACCAATTTAAAAAATCTTCCATCACTCCAATATAGTGAGATTCAGTATTATCATGTGCTTTGAAGAAATCTTGAAATGTCCTCTGCTGAAAACAGCTTCCTAAACACATTGAAATTACCATTTGACAGGCTGTCAGGTACAATTTGCTTTATATAAATGAAGCCAGAGTAGTTTATTTACAACTTTGTAGACTTCAGATATAACAGATGCATGAAAATGCTCATATAAAATCATAGAAGCATAGAATCATTTGGTTGGAAAAGACCTTTAAGATCGTCAAGCCCAACCGTATTTGTCCACTACTAAACCACGTCTCTAAGCACCTCGTCTACCCATCTTTTAAATACATGGGGACTCAACCACTTCCCTGGGCAGCCTGTTCCAATGCTTGACAGCCCTTTTGGCGAAGAAATTTTTCCTAGTATCCTAAACCTCCCCTGGTGCAACTTGTTACTTGGGAGAAGAGACCAACACCCACCTCGCTACAGCCTCCTTTCAGGTAGCTGTAGAGGGCAATAAGGTCTCCCCTCAGCCTCCTCTTCTCCAGACTAAATAACCCCAGTTCCCTCAGCTGCTCCTTAATAAACCGCGTACTCCAGACCCCTCACCAGCTTTGTTGCCCTTCTCTGGACACGCTCCAGCAACGCAATGTCCTTCTTGTACTGAGGGGGCCAAAACTGAACACAGTATTTGAGGCATGGCCTCACCAGCACTGAGTACAGGGGCACGATCACTTCCCTGCTCCTGCTGGTCACACTATTCCTGATACAGGCCAGGATGCCATTGGCCTTCTTGGCCACCTGGGCACACTGCTGGCTCAAATTCAGCCGGCTGTCCACCACTACTCCCACCAGCCACTCTTCCCCAAGCCTGTAGCGCTGCATGGGGTTGTTGTGACCCAAGTGCAGGACCCAGCACTTGGCCTTGTTGAACTTCATACAGTTGGCCTCGGCCCATTGATCCAGCCTGTCCAGATCTCTCTGCAGAGCCCTCCTCCCCTCAAGCAGATCAACACTTCCATGTAGACTAATAAAAATTCAGGTTTTTGAAATGTTACTATTCACCTTCCATAAATAAATTATTTTTCAATAAAAACTGGAATTTTAGTTTATTCTAGGGTTTATGCAGAGAAATGTGCAAACTATCCTTTCAGCATCCAACTACTGGCAGTATAGGAGAAAACAATTTATTGGCCAGTATTTTGGGCCAACATACATTTGTCCCAGCCTTCACAAGAAACCTCTGGCACTATAAATGGTTGTTATGCTGTATGGGTAGAAGGGGAGGAAGTGACATTGCAGTAAAGATGCCTCCTCTTCAGCACTTCTTGTACAATTAGGTACAAACATGGATACACTGCGATGGGTAATGACAATGAAATGAGCACTTGGAGCTAACTGACACTGTCACATCTCCAATATTCCGCACGTGAAGGGGACTAAAACTGGTGGTGTAAATGCTTGGGTATGGCTGCTGCTCTCTCCATGCTTTCCATACTTGCGGTTCTATTAGCCTCTCACCTGCTTTTCCAAGCAGGTTACAAGACTTAAGATTTGCTCCCATATAATTTGCACTAAATAAGAAGCTCTAAGAAAATGCTTCTTACACCATCACAAGATGCTAACAAGATGCAGATGTCAGTATGTTTTATGGGAACACTTAGAAGCAAAACTGAGAGATCGATTGACAAATAGGCTTCTGGTCTTCCAGTCTCTAATGCTGTAAAATTTAGCAGTGGCCAGAGCATTCCTGGGCACTGGAATATGATCCTCCACACTACTGAACGACTAAAGCTCTTAGCTCTTCCTAACACACTGTTGCCCTGCACCAACTAACATTCTCCAAAACAATGTTCAGGCACAGTTTGGGATCATTCCCAAAAGCCTATGGTGAGCCCATTTTGGAGGACAGAGATAGAAGCACAGATGAAAGATGTTCTGAGGGCATTTAATTTAGCCGCACAGGGATTGAGGCCTCCAAGTTTCTTGGCTAGACCTATTAGACAGTTAGCCAGTTGCTGTGTAATTGGATTTAATCTATACTTTTTTAACCTGTACTTCATTCAGATGCAATCTGCTTAAAGGAGCTGACTCATCTCTGCACAAGCCCTTGTCAAGAAACTTAATTTAATAAGAAAAGCCTGGTCCCCAGAACTCAGAACTGAAAATAGTCTGCTGATCTGGCATACAGGTACATGCCTCTCTTCTGCAATATACTAGAAACAGAGGAAGTTAAAATCAGTAAAAGAACAGTTGCAACAGCAAACCCAAAACGTATTACTTGCTATGTGTAACGTTGTTCACTGCATGACGACAGAGATCGAATGCTAAGACGTGGGGGAGTGCAACACCTGGAAACATCAACTTCTCCAATGTAAGTGGGCTTTTTTTTTTATTGTACACTTATTCTAAGAGATATTTATTAAACAGCACGTTGGAATCCAATGTAAGAAAAGCAGCTCGGTTCACCACTCCTCTGATTTATAGACAGGTGTGGGGATCACCCCTCTAAGGAGCTCCCTCCTTCAGTTTACCAGAGATGTGCTGCTTCTAGCCATCTCAGCAGACCTCTCAGCTCTTACCTTAGTGCGCATCCTTGAAATCAGCAGCATCTAAATATTTAGCAAGCTTATTTTTAGGAATAATTTAAGTCTGACTACCCAGCTAAACCTCAAATCTGCACAAAGCAGTCTTTGCTAACTTCATATCTAAAACAACCCTGCTGACGCAGACTGAAATCTACTACTGAATTATTGTAAAAACTACTCTGAATTATTGTAACCATCTCTAGTTCATCAGAACTTTTTGCCCAAAATTTCACCAAGCCACAATCCAATGTTAGCCTTTAAACAAGTAATTACTACAACTTCTGACTTAAGTATAACCAGTTACCTTCCTGTCAATTATCAGCTCTAAATCTAGTTCAGCTGACTCTAGTGGATGCTACTCTACATCATCTTCAACATCAGACCTTGCTGGCCAGGATCTTAGTCCTAGCTTTCATCCTAGCCTGAATGTTGAACCTACACAGAGTGCTATCTTCCCTTTTGGACTCTCATCTAGATATAAATTACCTGCTCCTAGTCACTTCTCTGTTCCCCATTCCAGATGAACACCCAAACTGTGTCCTTGCCTTACTGTAAGTGGATCCCAGGAGGCTGAAGCAAGGCAGGAGGCATGTTGTGCTCCAGCAGATAACCTGCTTTGGACTACCAAAGTACTGGTAGAACTGAAGATTACATCAGTCTTGCAGTTCAGATGCAACCTCGGTTATACTTTGTTCATTGGCAAAACTTAAACCCTGGCTCTCATCTCCACCCTTTTCCTGGCTATGAAATAAGAGATAAATTTCAATGTCATACTTAAACCTATTCAGTCAGGCTCTGCTGCTGCTACCTTGCATAACTGATACTTCTTAATTTAACCATAACTCTTGTTTGTCAATTGATGTCTGCCTAAACCTAATCCTAACCCTAACCCAAGCTCAACAATCCCTGTAAAACCTTGGCTCAGCAATAACCAGATGTCTCTGGGTGATACCAGCCCTTTGCAGACCCTGTCATAAATCAACTCCTTACGCTGGCATGAACCACCTTAACTCCAAACCTAATTCATTCAGTCCTCCCCAACAGTCCCACACCTGACCTTAAACAAACAGTACCATTGCTAAATCCTATACCTAGCCCAGTGGCAAATTCTGGACACATCCTCACTGTATGTCATCAACCAGCCTCAGTCCAAAACCTAACCCTAGCTTTATCCTCAAAAGAACAGCTCCTGTCAGCCTCTGGCTTGAACCTGGCTAAATAGCAGCTACCGATACCAGTCTTAATGAAGGCTGGTCATACCGATATCTCACCGGCCTGAATGCAGCCATATTAATACTAGCCATCATTAAGGCCAGCAACCTTAATACGACCTCCACAATGATGTGTGTGTCATCCCACAGCTTCTAGAATATTTTTTCTGCCAGCTAGTATGTGTGGAGAGATAGATGAGATATATCAAAAGTACAGGTTGCCTTAATTTCTTCAGTGGATAATTATACTGCTGAAAAATTATGTGCCCAGCATATTTTGACAAATTATTAAATACCAATTTTAAATACTATTTGAAGACAACTTCTATGCATGTGGAATAGAAGAATATATCTAACAATAATGAAGAGTTCAGGCTGTGTATATTTCAAGCATATCATATATTATTTGTCTGTTCTTGTCTACTAGTTTAAACCCCCCCCCCCCGATATTCTGACAGTACTACTGGAAAAGCAGTCTTCTGGCCAATATTTAAAGGAGAAAACCTGTCTATTTACTCTGAAATATGAAATGCTAAAGTACTTTTAGCCTAAATGGAAGTGTTACCATTATCTATAGTGGAGTATCACATACTTTGCACTTGCAATATGAAAACCAAGGATGAAACATAAAACTTGTTTGCTGTAAATTGCTGTACTTCTTCAAGATGTAACGAATGTAAGCCATGGCTATAGTCATTATCTCATCCTTTAATCTATACTCAAATTTCACATTCGAAGAGCTGCCAGACTTAATCTGTGATACCTGTAATTTTGACCCATCATGTTTGATTCAATGCACCTCATGTATTTTTCTCCTAACTAATCAATGGGAAGCCATATGCTGTACATAAGCAGCACAAATATTAATTTTAAACCAATATTCTTAAACGTGATAAATTTTTGACACTTACCTGAGGCCTCTAAGTTAGGAGCCTAGTCATCTCAGACTCCGTCTACAGTCAATGAAGACACACAGGCAACTTCAAAGAGCAATTCAGATCTTAGTTCAGCTGAACCAAAATCTGAAGGTGCCCCTTTTTTCTGTTAACTGTCTAGGAAGACTACTTTGACTAAAATTTCCTCAGATGCTTCAGTTATGCCCCTAACAATAGCTGGGCCTTAGTCCACACCGTGTTTGAATACTGTATCATAGGTTTTAATGGACAATCTAATTACTATCTTTGCTTTTTAACTGCTGTCTTCAATTCCACCTACTATTATTGACCTAAGAAAGATTAAATGTTGAACAAGTATCAACATTTCAAGAGTAATATAGGAGCTAAAGTCTGATTTTAAAATATGATTTAAAAAAACCCCATAATTAATCCATTGCCTTTTTGTGAGACTTAAGTAATCTTTTAAGATAAGACTTAAGATGTGTCTGCACAAAACCCTACAGCTAGCTCAGAAACCGACAGAAGAATGGTCAGCCAGGATGGCATTCAAGCTCTCCCAAGAAATCAGGAGCACGAACACAAAGGCACCAGGCTAACACAGTTATTCCACTACTTTATACCTAAGGTACCTCATTTGTAATTTGGGTTATCTTTTCATAGCGCAGATTTAAGCTGTGCAGAACTAATTTTAGGATGCAAAAGCTTCCAGGCAACTTTGAAAAGTGTACTTAAGTTCACATAAGAGAGCCTTTTCCAGAAATAACTTTCTTTCAAACAGAAAAAAAGAAAGAAAAGGAAGATACTCCATATCCAGGCAATCGTTTGGTAGGAAAACTATATGATTTCAGAGATGCTCTGTGCTAAATAAATTTGTGTACAGAAGTTACCAGCAAGCACTTTCATTTTCATAATGGCACGTGATGCAGCCCTGATGTCTTAATTCAGTATGTAAGTCAATCCCTTGAGGAGCTGCCAAAATTTTGGGAAAGACACTATAATTTCTGCTAACCTTTATATCCAGAAATTAGGTAAGTTAAGTTTAAAAAAAATCCAGAAGGCAAGAAAGGGGACAGACAGAGAGACCTGCAGAGATAAATAAAATAATCATCAGCAAAGGAATCTGAAGGAAACACCTTCTTTGAGGTTTCATAATAAACTGATAGTGAAACTTTTGTATATCAATGGCAGGAGCAGCCTTTTCTATCTTGAGAAGTTTCATAAGGTGTCACAAACTTCATATTTGGAGCAGCAAGAAATCAGGAAAGATCTGAATGAGCGCATATAGATTTTCAGAGTACAGAAAATACTTATGTTCACAGAACTGTTTGCCTCTTTGGTCCAAATGAGAGTAAATGCACTAAGAAAGCAATATTTGACAAGTGTGGTGTGTAAGCCCTTAACAGCAATATTCTTCATAAAACTTGTTTCTTAAATTCAGGCCAATAGCTAAGCTACTTGCTGTGAGATCTCTTAGCTAGAACCAGCACTACTGTGTTGGTGCAATGAAGCTGGTTTGAATGAAAAATAATGGGATTATTTAAAATACTATTATTGGTAATCTATATTTAATATATTATTACTTTTCTCCACACAACATTTCATCTATATAGTTCCACTTAAAAAGTTTCTAGCAATGAACAGCTACCTTGCATAGGTTAGTAAGAAATCTCTATATTAGTAAAGTATTTTTACCATATAATACAAATATTTTCCTTAGTTTAATAATTCTTTACACAATAAATATTTTTAAATCAACACTTCATCAGTTTTTCATTCTTCCTCAAGTTATCTAAAGCTACTGTTGTATACTGCTCCTTCTCCCCATATGCCTTTTCAGAACTTTTTGAATTTGCTGCAAAGGAAAACGTCTGTGCATTTTTCTTAGACAAATTCCATTCCCCTTGCCCTTGACAGGTTTTAAAACTAAGAGAAAGAATAATTTTAAAATAATTATTTAATTATAGTTCAATAACTCACATAATTTATAAAATAGTTTTAACATTTAAGCATTTTATTTGCTCAAAGTTCATTTTTCCCATTACTTTCTTACTGAAATGAAGGTAAAGAATTAATTGATTGCAGAATATTGGTATGGTAACAATACTCTCCATTACTTTGCATACTGAGAAAAAAGTGAAAACTATTTTCACAAAGCACCAAACAATACAAATGGAGGTTCATCGCTTCCCCCACTACTAAACAATATCACAATGCCACAAGTTAAAACAACTAAATCATGATCTATATGTAACTACAGATACACTCTGGAAGAACTATCTGAATGGGATAACTGCCTATTCTGGTTATGTCTTCTCTATTTTTCCTCCTTGACATTTGAAGTCACATGCAAAAAAAAATATTTCAAGACTTATAAACAAACACCTCCACACTATTCTCTATACAAATTCCAGTTTATGAGCATACCTATCCAGCATATCCATCTACCAGAAAATAAGCATATTTTCTAGAAGAAAACAATTTTATTTCCTCAATGAATTTAATTTGCTCCAATACTATACACGTGCTAGGAAACATTGTCAAATTATTTTATTTAATTTATTCTTTTCAGTAGTGCATCTTTACAATTACTTCATAGGAATTCACAACGCTGGCATACAGCAAAGCAATTCCGCAATTACGTTCTTTCAATGTAACTACTCTTGCAGCTATGATTTGACAAGCAACACATTTGAGAAGACAGAGTGCTAGATTTGAAAGTACCGTATCTGCACCTATTAAAAAAACTTACCATGCATCACTGGTAGACTTGGTTTAGACTCTTCAAGACGCTCTAAAGTAGTGTTCACTAAAATATCATAAATGTAAAAAATAATGTAAATGTGTTATAGTAAACAGTAACAGATATGTATTAATAGATGTTGCAATGTTTAATCATATTTATAGATCACACAATTTTTGGCAAATTATTGTAAACAAATAGTAAAAGTAAAGTAACACAATTAGTAAGTAATTAAAGTAATACAATACAAGTAAAAATTGGTCCTTCACAACATAAAAGTATGTCTCTAGATGGTGCTTGACATTTTTAGTAATTCCAGAACCAGGAAAAGAAACTAGTAATTTAATTGTCACTGAACTACATTGTGAACCTGCCCTAGTCAGATATCTCTTTGGTCATGTCTGTATGTTGTCTCTGTGTCCCAGGAAGAAGCCCTGGCCCACAGCTACTTAGTCAAGTTTAGCCTGATCGACACCTGTATTCCCCCTTGAGGATCTGCTGCATGCACACTTCGTAACAATTAGTGCAAACCCTATACATAACATGTATAGAGAGTAGCCTTGGACCGAATTATCACTTCAATTCTACATTCCTCAGATCAGCTTAGGGCCTAGGAGGAAACTCACTTGGGCGCCACGGTCTGTGCTTCAGTGTGGTTGAATATGACCAGCTCTAGCTGAGAAGTTGTATGGCCATACTGTTACTATGCTCACCTCAAACTAACCTACTCCCTGCTGTTAGATTCAGTTCAAGCCAATGCCCTGCTAATAAAGCAAGATGGTTTCCAAACAGGGATTACAATTAATCCAGCTGTCGTCATCTATTGCAATAGATTTATTTCAAGTCACTGCAACTGCAGCATCAACCATTGGGTGTTTGTGGTGTAGGACTGCATCCCAAAACACTATTATCAGATTTAGCTATTTGTAATGGACTTCAGATGTTAAAGCACTGCACCGACAAAAATATCAGAGTTCCTACAATTCTTTGAACATCCGCATCTTAACTGATAAATTAATCAATTTTGTCTACTCTTTTGGTATTTTCACTTTTGTGAGTTCTGCAGCCTAAGGACAGTCAAGCATGAAAAAACCAAATAAAATTACACTTCACAAAGCAAAGCCAGAAGTTGTTTACATGATACAAAATAGAGTTGCTAGATTTCACATCTCGTCACTACTCAAGCAATCAACTTTGTACATTAGAAGCCCTTAGAGCTGCAAAATGTGAACTTTGAAAAATATTGGCATGGAAACAGGTAAGCACCCTGCGAAACACAAATAAATTGCCAGTACTGATTTGATTTCAGTATTTAGTTAGTAAAGTTGATGTCTATATTTTTTAATGAATTGTAACATTTGTTTCAGCCGAGCTGCTGAAATTAGAAACAAAATCCGCTTTTTCTTACAGTTTGTACTTACCATCATATGGTTTAATGCTTGCAACGGATCTTGTGGACAATTCTTTTATCTAAAAGAGAAAAGACAGATACATGAGTAGTTACAAATGTAAACGATCGATATCTAGAAATGCACATTTAGTACAAAATACCTAGTTTCAGTACTATTCCATAACAGAAATTATTGTTTATGATTTGGGGAGAAAAACACTACTTTGTTGGAACTCTGTTCTACTGCCTAATGCATATTTCATTCATGCATAATTAACGTTGAAGATTATTGCTGTTTGTTGTCTTACGTGAACTCGTGCTTTATACACCCTGTTATTATAAGCTATAAAGTGAAATAAGAGTGGGCTTATGGGCCACTTCAGCACTTACAGTTTCAATACTTTCTGCTCCAGCAATTCATGTTCAATTTTGCAAGTCTAGCTCCACTCCAGGGAAATACTTAATTACACATTGATTTTAAAAATGTGAACAATTCTCCTGTCTGCTCTACAGTTTTATCTATTTGACAGCCAACACATGCACTGAAGAAAACTGAGAGCGTAGAGGAAACAAGCTGGCTATTAACTCAATCTAAAGAAAACAGGAAACTTGTGAATCCTATAACATTAAAACAATGTTCTGCACTCCAATTCCCCAAATAGAAGCTAAATCCAAACCAAACAGACACACAGTCAATGTCAGCTGGAACTGCCACAAGATATTGGACCCTGGTCCTCTTTTATTTATCCCTTTGGATAAATGCCTCAATTCATTGTACATTCAGTTTGGATTCTACAAAAGCATTAGACATTTCTCAAACCCTTCCAGTTTCCAGGTATTGAAAATGCAGATCTTCACAACTGTATTTCACAAACACCAGATCCCTCTGAACCTTTGGTCACAACAACCCCATGCAACGCTACAGGCTTGGGGAAGAGTGGCTGGAAAGCTGCCTGGTGGAAAAAGACCTGGGAGTAGTGGTGGACAGCTGGCTGAGTATGAGCCAGCAGTGTGCCCAGGTGGCCAAGAAGGCCAATGGCATCCTGGCCTGTATCAGGAATCGTGTGGCCAGCAGGAGTAGGGAAGTGATCGTGCCCCTGTACTCGGTGCTGGTGAGGCCGCACCTCGAATACTGTGTTCAGTTTTGGGCCCCTCACTACAAGAAGGATGCTGCATTGCTGGAACATGTCCAAAGAGCAACCAAGCTGGTGAGGGGTCTGGAGCACAAGTCATACGAGGAGCGGCTGAGGGAACTGGGATTGTTTAGTCTGGAGAAGGGGAGGCTGAGGGGAGACCTTACCGCCCTCTACAACTACCTGACACGAGGTTGTAGCGAGGTGGGGGTCAGCCTCTTCTCCCTGGTAACGGGCGATAGGAGATGAGGGGGAATAGCCTCAGGTGCACCAGGGCAGGCTTAGGTTGGACATTAGGAAAAATTTCTTCGGAGAAATGGTTGTCAGGCTCTGGAATGGGCTGCCTAGGGAAGTGGTGGAGTCCCCATCCCTGGAGGTATTTAAAAGACGGGTAGATGAGGAGCTTAGGGACATGGTTTAGTGGTGGGATGGCAGGGTTAGGTTAACAGTTGGACTTGATGATCTTAAAGGTCTTTTCCAACCAGAGCGACTCTATGATTCTAACCTATTTTATATCTGTGGTCATACTGTTTTCTTTTAAAAGGTCACTTTACACAAGTAATTTGTCTAGGATTAAATCTGATATTGCTCCAGCCATCAAATTTGTTGAGGTGGAGATGTAAAAGCTATTATTTGTCTTTCCAATTCTTTAAGCACTTAAGTGTAGGTTTAACATTAATCTCAAGAAAAATGTGTAAAATCAGATATTGATTTGTAAAGAAAGCACCATCTAACAGAGCACAATCATGTTATAGCCTAAACTCCAGACCACTCATACCTTCACCCACCGATCACCTCAAAAAATCTATTGTTGTGTTCGAACAAAAGTGAATATTTAAGAAAAAACAATTCATTTCCAAACAAATAACTTCATAGAATCATAGACTATCTCAACTTGAAAGGGACCCATAAGGATCATCGAGTCCAACTCCCTGCTCTTGCAAGACTACCTAAAACTAAACTATATGACTAAGAGCCTCATCCAGACGCTCCTTGAACTCTGACAGGGGCAGTGCCATGACCACTTCCCTGAGGAGCTTGTTCTAGCGTCCGACCACCCTCAGTGAAGAACCTTTTCCTAATGTCCAATCTGAACTTCCCCTGCTGCAGCTTCATTCCATACCCTCATGTCCTATCACTTGGTCACCAGAGAGAGGAGATCAGCACCTTCCCCTCCACTGCCTCCCTTGAGGAAGCTGTAGGGGGGCACCCCCTATTGTATGAGGGCACCCCTCAGCCTTCTCTTCTCCAAGCTGAACAAACCAAGTGCCCTCAGCTGCTCCTTGTAAGTCTTGCCCTGGAGGCCTTTCACCATCTCAGCTGCCCTCCTCTGGACACACTCTTAATAGTTTGATGTCCTTCTTGCATTGAGGCGCCCAAAATTGCACACAGTACTTGAGGTGAGACCACACCAGTGTGGTGTAGTGTGAGGCAACCACCTCCCTCGACCAGTTTGCTATGCTGTGCTTGATGAACCCCAGGACACAGCTGGCCCTCTTGGCTGCCAGGGCACACTGTTGACTCATATTCAACTTGCCATCAAGCCAAACCCCCAGACCTCTTTCCTTGGGGCTGCTCTCATCCCCCAATTTGTATGCATAACCAGGATTACTCCATTCCAGGTGGAGAATCCGGCACTTGCTCTTGTTAAATTTCATATGGTAATGATTTAATTAATTATTCTTACAGTGATAGATACTTTATTTTTAGTGTGAGAAGTCATGTATTTTCAGATTTCAAACACTAGATTTCATTATGATTAAATCCTGTTCACTATCACAAATTTTTCATCTGTAGAGGTCTTTGATGACCACAACCTAATAATCTTTTAACTTTGCATTGAACTTATTAAAAACATTTGGTTTATTAATCCTTTTCTTCTCAATTGTGTTTTAATTCCTGGTTTACCTTCCTGTGTCTCTTTTCCAGATCTATTCTTATTTATTGACATAATTTCCAAAGCGTAACCAATATACCACAGCAATACTACTACAAATTGGGAATATTAACTATGCAACCAGAGATACATCAAAGACCAAATGCTAGTAAAATGTTTCTCTATGTCCTATGCTCCCCAAAACACAGAATGCTTCACAAAACAGACCTGCTTCTTCTGAGTAATAATTAGATCATTCTGCTCCTGAAGCCTCTGCCCCAATTCTTCTATCCTCCTCTTGTAAAAGGTGTTGTTTTTATTCAGGTCTTCTCTCACTGATGATTTAAGCTTCTCAATCTGTGACAGTAGCTAGAAAGCAATCAGAAGTAACTTTGTATTAATATTATACAAAATATTTTAATGCTATAAAGTTTAAACAAGCAAGTGTCATGCTTAAATATTTTTAACACTTTCAACAAAAACATAATGTCTCCTGTGATTTCACTGGGACTTGCATATGTTACAAAACAGTTGTCTGGATCACTTTTTATTTACACAAGGAAGACTACCTAAATTTCAATACAAAGAAAGGGACATACAAACATATTTCTGAGATTGCCTAAAAATAAGATTGCAGGAAAAAGCATAAGACTCTATAAAAATGTTTTTGTTATAAATAGTGTCAAATAATCATATTTTAAGGTGACGAGATGTGAATTTGCATAATAAACCTAATATATTAGCTCTAAATGTAGAAGAAAGGGAACAATATTTTAGGTGCACCATCCCAAAAGTAATACTTACATTACTCCTCCCTTATTCTATTCTTGCATTGTATGTGGGTGTATCATTAACTACATCCTTTTTGGGGAATGTTCCATGGTTCCTCCCCACTGCTTTCTTGCCAGAGGAGAAGAAGCATTGGTCAGACCACTACGATCTGCTCAGTTCTTACATGGTCACGCAGATGAAAGGAAAATGACAGAAAAGAAGCAAGAGAAACAAAGCAGGAAAGAGATTAAAAAGAAATGCAGACTTAAAAAAATCTGAGGAATAAAGCTTTGTATAGTAAAATATATAAACTGCTGCAAAATAAAATGCCATGGTGTTTTTTTTCCTGGAAAAGCTGAATAGATTATGCATAAGAAAACTACAACAGAAAAAGCAGCAGAGAAGTGATAGAAAAGACAAAAAAAGATTGAGACATGTGCCATAGGTCCATGGTAGCAGAAGATACAGGGTAGATGAAAGCTACATGTTGGCAAGTTGTATCTCAGCTATCCAGCGTATTCACGTAACACAGAAAACACTGTATAATACAGTGCTCACAGAATTAGTTGTGAGCAGAAATCAGTTTCAGGCATCTGTCGGATTCTTAAATGATAAATTCCATTTCAACTCTGGCCTTAACTGAAACTTCAAGATTCTAGCATAACAGAAATATAGAGATAACAAATACATCTAAGAGGACACACTCCTATAAACTCTTGAGATACAGGCTTCTAATCCAACAGATGTATTATAGCATATCAAGAACTACTGAAAGGGTAAGAAAATAAGAAAAAAGTCTCTTTTTAGTTTAAGTGGTTTGCTCTGCCACTTACCAGGGACTTTTCTGTCTCGTGGTCATGATGAAGGGCTTGTATTCTAGATGTCCACTTACTTTCCTGCATAGAGGAAATCAATATTAATTCCTGTTAATAACACATTAACATTTAGTTCGATATACACAGCTTTATTTTTCTAAATAAAGCATAAATACTGAAAAGATTATTGATTATATGAAACTTGAGTAACCCTGCATTTAAGACCTAGAACAGTCACCAGCATGTTCTACACATCCAAGTGTGTTTATCTTACCAATCACCTTAGAAATTACATATTTGCTCCTTGAATTATATCTATAGTGACTATGAGTGAGAAATACACAAGTATTTTGATATATCTCTGTGTATTAACAATAGGAGTAGTAAGAGCAGGGTGTTTTCCCCCCAAATAATGTCATTTCAAGCACTCATTAACAATGTATTTTGCATGATGATGATAAAAAACAGTATTAATATGTGAGTTTTAGAGTGAAACGATTTTTTTTTAATGAAATAAAAAACCCCATAAAGTAAAACTCACTAAGTTTTCCCCATTTTTGAGCAGAAGTGACCAAACTTTTGGAGATGATACCAGCAGCATACAAAGACTTTCACATCCCAAGAACTATGAAATACATAATGTGTATCTCAAAGTGTCAAAAAAAAAAAAAAAAAAAGAGTAAAGGTTTGTAGGTATTTCCAAATGTCTCACAACTCTTTTTTCTTATAGGAACAACCCAGATATGCAGGTGAGTCTCAGAGTAATGCAATGACCTTGGCCTCAGTGGCCCTTCCTAGCTCAATCTTTCCTGTAGGTGGGACTTGGACTGTCCAACAGTTTTGCACTAGCACCAGCACCTGTGCTGGTCAGATGATGAAGTCCTGGTACAGAAGTTGCACCAGACAAGCTCAAGTGCTTCATATGACTTGAAAGCCACACGTTGACAAATCCCGTCAGGAAGTTTCTTAACATTTTTTTTTCATCTTGGAAAATGGAAAATTCCAATTTTTCCATAAGAGGCCTCACAGATCAGCAGACATACATGGTTTATTACAGCCTACTGGAATTGAACTGCACCCATACTTGGTAAAGCTTACTATATCTAATAATAAAGAATAAGAGCATAACAATAAATAAATACCAATTAATTTATTTATAAAGGAGAAGGGAAATAATTCCTTAATTTCCATTAAAGAGATTGTACTAAACAGCAGTAAATCTTTAAAAACAGCTATTTTAGACATTGAGACGGATGAGAATTTTACTTACGGATTTAAAATCCTACTGAAGAGATGTACAAAAATGAAAAGAACACAAGTAGTCTGTCAAAAGCAATACATTAAGTTACATTATTACCTGTTTTTCAAGAAGTTTAACCACATTGTGATAATCCTGAGGACTCTGAGGTTTCTCTTCTGTAAATTCTTGGCTGTCTTTCAGTGTCCCTAAATTGGATTTTTGTTGCATATTGGACTTTTGTAATTCTAACAGTTGCTAAAAGGTGGAGGAAAAAAATGAAGACCAGAATATGTATACAGATTTTGTTTCATAAAACTATCATTTAATACAAATTTTTCTTTAAACATAACTACACAGAGATTGTATCAGACAATTCTCACATTTCTCATGAGTTCAGCGTTATCAAATTTCATGTAATAATTAATATATACATCTAACATAAACATACCTTACAAATATACACAGGAACTAGCAGCTACAAAATATAAGCTGCTCTGGTAATGCTGTGCATAGCTGCTTTCTGACCCACCTCTACTTCCTACAATTCTTCCGAGTCAAAACTCCGGAAAGCATTTCCAGAGCATGTATTGAAAATGCATGCCGTTCTACTGTCAGGACTATAATGCAAAGGTTAGTCCCCTCCATGCCACTTGTAAGAATATTAATATAAGGATACCTAACAGACAGCAATAATAACAATATCTACTAATCTGTAAACAGGAACTCAAAAGTTGAGGAGTGAGAAAACTCTGACATAGTTGTTGAAGGCATAATTCATTCATCCAAAACGATGCTATTAAAAAAGGACTTAAATTAATGTTAATAAAGTACTAGCATACGAAGACACAATCCAACTATTAAAGTTTTGTAAGAAGACCTCTAAGATGACTGCATCACATCTCAAATACATGAAGTTCACTGCCATCTACTGTAAGGGATACATGCCTTAAACTGTTAGGAAATTTAAATCACTTACATTTTCTAATGTTGAATTTCTTGAAGACAACTCCTTAAGCTCTTTCATAAACATCTCTTTCACTTTTTCTATTTCATCAGCCAATTTCTCTTTCTCCTCCTCTTTCCATTTATGAAATGATTGTAGAATTTCTTCTTCTTTTGATTTTTGCTGTTCACATTCCTGAAATTATTTTAAAAACGTTATTTGTTATTTTTCCCCACATGCAATACTAATTCTAGCACCCAAACTATACATGGGAAGCAGTCACTTTCAATGGGCAACGTTGTGACATCAAAAAACATGAAAAAACCACCAGTTTCTGCAGAATTCTGGGGTAGCAAACTATGCATTTTGCTAGCAAAAGAAGTACACTTCAAGGAGTTTTAGTAGTTCATTATTTTTGGTTGCATAACACATGAATGATCTTACTTGATCATATCAGAGATCCACCTAGTTCAGCATCTTGTTTCTCACAGAGGCCGTAAGTGTATAAGGTGGGAAAGGACAATTACAGGGCAAGCAAACATGCATGTTCTCCTTAATAGTCTCCAAGTAGCCAACTGCTTTCAGCTCAGAGGAATTCCTCAGCCTGGTACAGTTTTGTAAACTTAGTGACCTTCAATACATTTCTCCTCCTACACTTTCGCAGTTGTCCCTTGTGGCTGCATCAGCTTTTAGCAACTGAGACATCTTTTGCCAATGAGCTCCACAGGTCTACTACAAGTTGCACCAGGAGCAAAGTACTTTTTTTTTGTTTGTTTGAATCTGGCTCCCACTAGGTTCATTTGATGGATGGCAGGTCCTGAACTAGAAAAGAGAGTGAATGATTGATACTTATTCACTCTGTGTAACTCATGACTTCTGCTAGGTTCATTTGATGGATGCCAGGTCCTGAACTAGAAAAGAGAGTGATACTTATTCACTCTGTGTAACTCATGACTTCGCAGTCTGTATTTAGAACAGCTGAGCATGCTAAGAGTTGTCAGTCTGAAAAAACCACAACAGCTCGCTGGATGGAGGGTGAGATACTGATGTCTGCGAAGACCTTTACGATCATCACGCCCACCCATAAACTTAGCACTGCCAAGTCCACTGCTAAACCATGTCCCTAAGCACCACATCTACACTCTTTTAAATACCTCCAGGATATTTAATTCTATCATATCCTTTTTGAGGGAAGGGACTAGACCTACACACAGTATTTTGGCTGTGGCTTGCACAGTGATTTTTCAGAATAATTTATAATATTTGATTTTTTTTGCTGGCTGCTACTAACCACTGGGCTGACATTTCCCTGGAACTGTGTACCACATCCTTAAGATCTTGCCCTTCAGTAATAACACTCAGCTCAGAACCCATCATTTTGTAGAAGAAGTTAGAATTATTTTTTCCCCATACACATTCATCCCACTTCATCTGTTAAATTACTTTTACCATTCCATTACTTAGTCACTCATGTTTGTATAGTCTTCAACTTGTCCTGCATTTCACTGCCCAGAATATACACACTTTGTAGGCAACCCTTACATCCTTCCATCACAGCATTCACTCTGAATTTGTTCGCTGACTAACTGTAACAAACAATCATTGTACACTTATGAAGAACAGGATCTTCTGTATCCTTTCACCTGAAAAGAGTAGAAGAGACCAAGAACTGGAAGCATGACAGTTTTTATCCAAATTCCCTCCAGTAGTGGTTCTCCTAAAAAAACCACAGGGCAAAGTTCTTTTGCTCTTCCAATCAAAAGACAACAACATAATGATACCTGAACTGTCAGTCATGGCAGACAAACTGCAACCAGTCACACTTCACATTTCCATCTTCCCTGACATCCCAGAAAAACACAGAAGCTTTGAAAGCTTCTTGTTGTGTAACACTGCAGGCTGTAGCTTCAGGACATTTCAGGCAGTCTTCTTGTAGTTAGGAGTCTCAGCTAAGGCAAGTGATTTCAAAATAAGCACCTAAGGCACCAAAAAATCTAAGCTGTGCTGTTACGAATACTCCAAGTTCCATCTCATAAGAAAAACAATGCTTCAGGGGCAGGAGAAGTATGTTATAGATGTACCTCTGAAAAGCGAGGCACAGAATGAATGAGAAGAATACCTTAGCAGTTGTCCACGTAAGCCCAAGGCCCATTATTCTGATAGTGCTTGCACTCCTAAGTGAAACTCTACCCACACTCTTCATGTGGCCATTCAGTACTTTTGAAAAACTGAAAAAAAACAGGAAGCTGAATGGTCCTGAGAAAAGGGGAACGAAAGGACTGAAGAAAGGAGAGTCTGAAGCTGTGTTCAGGGAAAGAAGCATTGCATGTTTTACAGAAGATGAGTTTTGCTCTGAATACAAGGAAGAAAATAATTAATGATAGACATGGTTTTTTTATTCCCTTTAAATTCAAAATTTAGTGTTTGTTTCCAAATGTAATGGTTGGGTTTATGTTTGAAGGTCCTCAAACTCTACTAGGAAAGCCATTTAGAAGTGCTGAATATTGGGAGAAGGTTCTTACAGGTTATGTTGACAACCACAAAACACTGCTTTTGAATGTGATATAGGGCAAACTGCAACAAGAAGATCAGCATTTAACTCAATCATTAGAAGTATCTTGTCTCTTAGGCCAAGGACTTGCTCCTCAAATTGAAGTGCAAAGCCCCTCCCCTAATTAAAAAAATTCCATCCCTATTTTGATAGCAAATTATCAGATTGTATTTACTTAAATAGAAATTAAAACTGTGAGCTGATCTGAAATTATCAAGCTTTAAAAAAAAAATTAAACAGGTAACTTAAATTCTTTTTTCTTTTTATGAGTCAGTAAGCACACTTACAAGTTTCAGTATCATCCTAAACAAAGCCTTGCACGTGATTACAAATAGATAATTACTGCTTTTAAATCATTCTGGTTTAAGGTCTTGTTATTCACACAGCAGTAGCTAAGACTACTTTCCACTTGGGCTCTCCAGTCAGCCAAATCCTAAGGATTTAAAGGCCAACATACAAGTTCTAGATTGCTTTGCTTCTTCTCAGTCTCTCTTCCTTGAACTGCTTTACACCTCTGTTAGACAGTAAAGTTCTCTGCTGCAAAGAATAAATCCTACTCAGTTTCTAAAGTCACATGTAAAATCACAGTCATAACTAAAAAACACTTAATCATCACAAAGTATCATGTCAAAAATAGCTTGTATTTCACCACAGCAGGGCAATTCTATCTGCTTCAGAGAAGTGTTGTTTCAAGTATTCATTTAAAATATGTCTAAAATTAAAGTAAGGAGAAAGCAGCTGTTCAAAATTATAGGAGGTGAGGGAGGGTTACGCTCTAATGCCCAAGCACCATTGCTGCCAGACAGGCGAGCTGTACATACATTTTTCTTCTGTACCAGTTACAAAATGAGTGAACACAGTCCAAAGCACTAATTCTTTTGAAAAGTTCACATTACTTACTGCATATTACCTTAGAAAACCTGACCATATTAGCCTGTTGTTCAGTCTCTAACTGGGACTTGGTGAGCTGCAACTGCTCCTTCAGTTTATCGATCTCATCCTGCAGTTTGTCTGTCTTTGCTTTCCTCTTCTGTTCTGTTTGAAAGAAACACAGATTTTAAAAATGTTTGTTGTAATTTCTGGAAATGTAATACTTACTGCAAATGCGTTTCTATAGTGTTTCAATAACATCTTCATGAAGTGTGACTCGCGTAGACCATTTCCCTTCCTACTATGATGAGTCTCCAAAGATGCTTTTAAATACATATGTTCTCTGGACTGCTAACATCCTCAAAGATTGAAAAATATCGATGTTACTGACATGTGAAATAGTTTATAAAATATTTACAAGAAAAAGTACTATATAATCTAATTTAAAAGGCATCTAAGCAACACAGGCTCAAAAAAGGATATATGAAGGACAAAGTGAACCTCAATGATTCAATTGTTAGGTTTAATTTATTCTAAATAACTTTAGTAAGGAGTCCATTTGGAATACAACTTACTATTTATCTGGAATGAGTCAGGGGGAATGTCACTGTAAAAAACATTTTACAAGTATGCAAAAATTATAACAATCTTTAATCTAGAAACATTTTATCAATTTACCTAGGACTTACTCGGCTGCCCATCATTTGGGAATCTGAGCATAACACAGAATATGATTTCAGAAATAACTGTGTGGAGTATTGCCCATATAGAGCCACGTCAGATTGATTCATTATATGGTAATTGGTTCAACTGGTTCTGCAGCTCCTTTCCACTATCATTTTTATCAAGTACAAAGTGGACAAGAGCTTTATTCTTCCAATACATTAACACTTCCTCAGATGCCTACTGAGACCCCTCTCACTTTTCTTGCTGTTTTATTTTCCTGACAAGCTACAGTTCAGACCTCGCTAGATTCTTCCCACTCTTTCTCCTCCCAAATGCTCTTTTTTCATAACTCATTTCTAATCACTGCCATTTGTCAATACCTGTTAGTCCTTAGCAATAAATCTTAAGCATGCAGCCTAATAAGGAGAGAGTTTAGAGATGAATGAAACAAACTTTGAGAGCAATGTTTTTCAAACTAAACATTTTTTAATTAAGAGAGACAAATGTAAGTTACTGGTATAGCAACCAAGATTATCATAGGTACATAAAGTCAGAGTACTCTTGACAGTTTCTTTTTCTCACTTATTTTACAGCCACTTCAGTTCAGGAGAGCCTGATCCTATTAATACAAACTGATTTCAGGTGAGTTAGATTATTTCTGTACTGGTAATTTGTATATATTTAGAGAAGGTATCTGCCTTAGCTCAACTTGTTCAATTTACCCACACCTTCATAACACACAGGCCTAAAGAGAAACTGCGCTCTGAACTCTGCTACTGAATAAAGTATTCAGTGGAAGTGCTAGTTTGAAAAGGTACTGTAAATATGGCATAACAATTTTTTTGTTAATTATTTTCCAGAGACTGAAACATATGTAATCCAATACATTTTGTCAGTCAGTGTTGCTTGCATTCACACACATTGGTATCTGCCACCTAAAAATGGAACAGGAAAGTCATTCTTCCCAGTTACACAAAATCATGGACTGCATGCACATCCTCACTGTATTTACACTTTTCTAAACTATTTATCTCAATTTTTTTGATAACATTAAAGTACATACCAATCTGAGATTCTTCTGGATGACGCCTTTGCATGTGACTTTGTAAAAAGGAATAGTTCATAAAAGCCTTTTCACAAAACTGACACTACAAAAACCAGATAAAAACATCTTAGTTATTATTAGTAACATCCGTTTGGTAAGTATAGCAGTTAAGGTTTTTAATAGGTTGTTACATTGTGTCCAGATGTCAAAAGTAGGTAACTTTAATAAATTCCACTTCACAAGAATAATGGCTACAGTTCTCACAGTGCCAGATTTCTGTAAAGTTATTAATATATTTCTGTTATTTAACGTCTCTCAATGACAGTCATGGGCAAAAATCCCATTGTGCTAGGCACTGTACAAACTCTGAACAAAAAATTACTCTGACCAAATAAGTTTAAATTCAGATAAGAGATGAATATAGATAGGTAGAGAAGTATAAGGAAAAAGTAAGACAACACTATTCAGCAAAATACACACCGACTCCAGCCAACTAGCACCTCAGGTATTCCAAGACTCTTGTATCACAGCAATAGAGAGCACCATACAATCAGAAAAAAACCCCCAAAACAATAAAGATGGGTTTGAGTATACGTAAGTGCGTTGTAAGATAACAATACTGTAAGGACCCTAGATATGTAAAAAAATCAGACATTTCAACCAAAATAAGGTAACAATACAGAATTTTGCAAGAAAAGGTACATACGTACATTAGGACGCTACCTAGCACCCTTCTGAAGCGTAAACTGTTTATATTACTGTTCCTATAATTTATTTATTATTTTTAATTTGAATGTTAAGTTATATTTTAAGTCAAATTTGGATCCTACTAATTATAAATTATTTTTTTTTGTTCACCTTCAAAGTACATTTCACTATTACTCGGAATTTTAAAAACAGATGGGTAGTACAAGGACAGAAGCTACATCTACAGATTTTTCAACATACTGGTAAGACTGTGAATCGCTTTAGGTGGGCTTGCTTGTTACCTTTTTCTTTCAAATAAATTTTTTTTTTCAAATAAATATATTTTAACAAACCACAGATACTCAGATGAGTCCTTTTTCCTCATCAATGTGATATGACTGTTAAGAGACTGACTTAACAGATTCAAGACCTTGTCACCATAATCAAATTCCCAGATTTCATCTAATATTAAAAATACTGCCACTGATAGTCAGGTAGGCTAGTAAATACAGGTATCTTTTAGCAACCACTAAAGCCATGAATTATTAAGACAAATTTAGTTGGACAAATGCAAAAAAAGCGCTAACATAAAACCAAAGTAAAGAGATACAGTATGGCAGCAAAGCACTGCTGCCAACCAAGAGGGAGCTCACAGTGTAACAGATTGCACATGATTTATGGAATTAAATTGGCTGTGAAATAATGTTATCCATTCAAGCACAAACTTCATGTCAGTTTGACTTGCTGGTAGTGAAAGAAAGCTCTTACTGCAGGAGACAGGATTAACACAGGGAATATTTAGGTTTTGAATTATGTAACAGTATTCTTGCAACTACTTTTCACAGCGTTAGACACAATGTGCACTTGATGCCTACATTGTGCATAAGAATATAAGATTAAATATTATTATTATTTAAAATTAAGTTTGTCTTACACAGATGAAGATATTGACCAAGGAGTCTTAAATTTATGACTTGTAGGTACCAGTGCTATTTTATAGTAGTATATCATGGTTGAATTTACACTGGTGGTGGGTTAAAGGCATTGAATCTGAATGCCAAAGCATAGTTACAGTAGATATGAAGTACGCCTCCACTAAAAATGGCAAATAATTGCTTACAGGCTTGTTTGCTAAACAGCCAAGACTTTAAGGGGATGAAACCTGAACTACCCTCTCAGGAACACCAGCAAAACCCTTACTAGCTGGCACTGCAGATCAGCCAAGATCATGGCACACATAAATAACGCACAATTATTGTTCACTGATCACACTGCTGCCCTGTATTTACAAGCCCTAGGAAGAGTTTAATTTATCTCTGGCATTTGCACTCAGAATCCTGAGAACACTGCAGGAACTTTTCAACATCGTTCCCTGAACTCGTTTTTCTCACATGAACCTAAATAACTTCTAGAGACAAGAATTTACTAACAAAGAAAAAAGGGGGGGGAAGGCAGATGTTTACTTTATATAAAAATAAACTAAAAATGGGAAATAGCTTTCCACCTCTGCTTCATTGTAAATGCCACTGAACAGAAGATTAGTGATGAGGGGAGATCACTACCATGCTCTTCAGCTTCCAATGAGACCGTTGTATCCTACAAATATTTTAGGAAAGACTGGTGATATTTAACTGGCAATCACGGTATGAGAATTACTTAACTTTGCACATAAAATTATGCGTGCGATCAGTTTTCTTTTGCAACATAGGACAGACAAATTGCTCTGTTAGTTGAATAAAGGCTTTTTAAAATGATTCAACATCAGCAGCTCATCCTTAAGGCTAACACTCAAATGAATGCATTGAGACAAGGTTCCCATTAAGTTTACCACATGTATAGCTCTACTCTTGGGGCATAAGGTATCTTTTCCCTTACAGAAACATTTGAGCCAACTTAGCTGATGCCTTAAAAAAATAAACTTTGCCAGCCTGCTGAAATTGGTATTATATTGTGGGATAAAATTGTACATACTATAAGAAAACTTGCATTGGTTCTGTATTGCAGCTATTCCATGATTAAGGAGAATTTCAACAATCAGGACTGCTGATTGTTCCCAAGAATTTTAAAAAAGCAAGAAGACTATAACTTCAAACATATAAACACAAAGAGCTAGCCTGAAATCACGTCAGGTCTGTGTCCAGTGTACTCTCTAGGCTTCAGACTACATTTGATGCTGTAGTCTGCATTCCTGAAACCTGTTGAAAAATGCTGAAGCTGAAAAATATTTAAATCAAACTATTACATCCAGAACACAAAAACCCCTCACCAAAAAAAAAAATTGAATCAATAAAAGAGTGCCATGACACAGGGAGTCAGAACAGCAACGTACTAAGGCTCTTAGAGAAGACCCTTACAGAACAGATTGTTGTAGAGTTAGGGATGAGCTACCTGACTGGGGCTCTTTACCGTCATGCCCGGGTCACACCCCCAGTCACACACACAAGTAGAAACTTTGCGCCTGGAGAACATTACTGCAAGAAAGTGACAACTTGCAGACAGGTAGGTTACCGCTTAGCACCAGTTCTGATGTACTTGCCCTGCGTGTCTTCTGACCACATAGCTGACAAGCAAGGAGAGACAGCAACAGACAGGAGTAACACGTTTATCATAGGTCTTGTACGTGCATGTGTGTCTGCATCTGTGTTGAGATGCATCAACAGTGAATCCAAAGAATAAAGAGCGCTTGTTAGAAAGAAGAGGATTTGTTAAAGATGATGTAGCACTCTCCCAAACATCTGTGAAACACAGATAGGAAGTGAAGCACCTGCAAGCCATGCACTCCTTTTTTGCAGGGTCACGGGTCCCTGCAGCTCCAGCCTCTCGCCCAGCAAGCGACTGCGCCCCAGCAGAGCGGGACTGCTCTGCCGCCCGTCCCCAGCGGGCTCGGAGCTGGCAAGACGTGGGTGACCAGGCCGCCAGGACCTCTCCTCTCACCTGGTGGTAGCTGGCTCGGGCCTCCAGCATCATCTGCTGGGTGCTGATCATCTTCTTCCTCCGGCGGCACTCCTCCTTGAGCCCCTTGATCTCCTGCGAGCGGTGGGCCACCTCCTTGCCCAGCTGGTCGCGCTGGGCCTGGGCGGCCCGCAGGGCCTCCTCCAGGCTGCCGAGCTGGGCGCTGAGGTACTCCTGCGAGTGCAGCAGGTACTCGGTGCAGAGCTGGGCCAGGCGCAGCAGCTTGAGCCGCAGCGGGGCGGGGG